AAAAATCCTTCATTTAACACATTTTATAAAAGTCTTTCGTGTGAAGTTACATGTAATAAATAATAAAATTTCATAAAGTACATTTTTTCAATACCTGTTGAACATGTTGAAAATAGGAAAACACTTTTAAAACACGTATTTAGCAAGTTCTATCAGCGGTTCATGTTGTTTGGTGCTTTGTCTGTAATGATCTTTGTGTTCAGCAATACTGCATATAGGCCAATGGCTTAATCAAGGTATGGTCACTCCATCATGCTGTCTGAATTTACATCATTATAGCGCATGCTCGAATGAACGGAATCTGTAGTCCGATAAGGAAGACAACCGCTAGGAAGGCGATTAGCGTTATGCTCATCTGAAAACAATGAATTAATAATAATAAATAGAGCGAAATATTTGAAATTATTTGAAACTATTTTATTGTAAATCAATAAATAAATAAATGAAACGTGATGAGAGATAAAAGGTTATTTAAAAAATAAACTAATAATTATCAATTTCACAAAATATTTAAAAAATGACATTTTCATTAAAAAGGAAAGGATAAATGTAATGTTTACTCGTTTTCTTAGACCACATTAGTGCATCTATATAATTACGTAACATGTTTTCGACTGTTTTTTTTTAGCTTTCTTTAAAGGTAAAAAACAACAGTCGAAATGAAAAACAAGTTTATTGGATACACTTAGGAATATACAAATTATTAATTATTTACAACCCGTATTACAGTATCAATGAAATAAGATAAATAGTATAAAAATTTTAATTAACAGTAATTTTTATGACTAAAAATAAAATAAGATCCCCAACCCCCTTTATTCTTGCTTCCGATATTTTTTTCTTTAATTTAACATTGTTACATATACAATGCATTTCATTTTTTAATATAATTTTAAAATTGTATATCTTATTGATCTCTCAAATAAATCGTCCGATTTTCAGAGTATATATTATGGAAAAAAAGAAATTAATTTCTACATTTCATTTCGCATTTTGACCTCTTAAAAATAAATCATTCCAACAATATTGTTCATTCTAATTGCACAAAATATACGCATAAAAAGAAACTTTAACATGAATTTCATTTTATTTTTAGTGTATTTTTTTACAGTAAAAACAGAAATAATAAAATTTCTGCATAAAGATCTTACCTTAGCTTGTTAAGCTCCTACCCCTACACACCGGACAATAAGGAGTAAAGACTTCCTGGTTTAATGTTATGGACAGACCCCAGGGTATAGGTCCACGGTATCTGATGTAACGGTTATGTGACAATTCGTCTGATTAGCAAAGAGCATGTAATTGTATCCCTAAAATCATGACAATCATATCATAATTTATAAATGGTTTATGTCTAAAGTATATTTTGTATTTACTCAGATGTATTGTTTTCCTCGAACTTTCAATTTTAAAACGTCAGACCTTTTAAAATATTTGAAGTGAAAATGTGTAGTTTTGGCTAAATCGTTTTGACCTGATTCCAGATAAAAGATATCTCCATGTCCTTCATGGTACCGCAATGCTTATATATGTGTTTTATAATATTGATTCAGGGAAAAAATTATAAAGAATTATGAAATGCAACTTAACAAATTAATGTAATACCCATTGTGATATCTTTAGGAATTCAAATATTGATGGATTTTTATACGTAACTTCATACAACTTCATACACATGTCTCGATTCTTACAATGTTAAAAATGTAAAACACTAAAGAAAGTTGTCTCATGTGATTCACATGTCATATGGAATTTTCACTTTTCTTTGGATATGTCATCCCTTATTGAGGGTTTGATGTGACCCGCTTTTGCAAAATTTAATTTTATGCCTCTTATGAAACATGACCATAACTTTTGAACATTGGTGCTAGGGGTCTATCTTTTTTTTTATTTGCTTTCCTTTTGAAAAGGGCTTTACTGTTGTAAAAATTCATTATAGTGTATCTTACTTTGGAAAACATTAACATCAGCTAATTTTAGTAAGATATGCTATGACTTTCATATTTCACAGGTGTATTTCTTGTTACAAGAAATTTTCTTGGGTACTAACAATCTAGAACCTTTAAAGTTTACCTTGGATATTTTCTAATCAACTTTATTATAACCTTGACAAACATTTTTGAATGTTCACTATTAATTTAAACAGTTTTTTTTTCATTTTGCTGTTGTTTTTCTTGTGACAAGAGCTTTCGTTAGGGTTTGAACAATTTTGCCTCTTTCCTCTTGGCCAAACCTATTGAATGGTTGAAACTATTGCTATTATATTCAACAATTGTATTCCTTTTGACAAGGTCTTTCAAAGGCCAACATAAATTTTGATATTGGCCATGGAACCATGGCCTATTTTAAGATTTTAACCTGATAATTACTTTTGAATGGTTGTTGTTATGCCTACTTTATTTTAAAAGTGATTTCCATGTGACCTTGGAGTTTGATGTGCATTTAAATTTTTAAAAAAGGATTTCAAAAACACTCATTTTTATTAATACTTAATACTCATACATAACTCTTTTAATTTAAAAAAAAAATATTATAACATCAGAATGCTTATCAAAAACATTTTTCTATCCAAAGCAAGATATTTCCACCATCACATTCCCTTGTAAAATATAAATAAATATATTTTTTATGGTTATAAATGCAAACCCAAAATATGTGTCGTTAAAATAGTGCACAATGGCAATTGTAATAAAGATTCTGTGAAAGTTGCATCAATTTTCATTCAGTGGTATGAGAGGAGTTGCGGATAAGAGATGTACGAACAGACGGTTGTCCAAAAAGCATTCGTTTGTTCATTTGTGCGTACATGTACGAGGGTTGTCCAAAAAGTTCGTGGACAATGATGTTTTAGTTAAAATAAATGGTTCTAAATAAATCTATTGTATATCAAAATATTTCTTACGAAGAACCAAGTCAGAATGATTTAATTTTTATTGATGGAACTTTATATTTTTGTAAAAATTGGGGTCTTCAAAGGTCGCAGATAATGCGCACGGACCAGTCTGACGTCAAGCTAATTTCATTCAACATTTGGATTTTGAATTTTAACATATGTTCATGGACAGACACTACATTTCTTTTTTATGGCGCCACACTTCCAAGTGCTATCAATAATCTTTAAAGTATAAATTATAATTAATTTAAATTTTAAAATTCAAAACAATGCACAAAAAAATTACGTGCGTCACCAACATAAACAGTTTATATACACAAACTGCACAGCCAACTCCGACGCTGAGCTAGATTTATAACAACGTCATGAATAGAAATCTCCATTTTCAGCAAATTACATGCGTATATACCAATCTCAAATCAATAAACTAAAAATATTTAAATGATTTTGGGTTGTTTTAACAAATAGTTTATCTCTTACGTCGTTTCAACCGTATTAAAACATAATTTTTTGATTGGACGCTGCCCCGTGCGGACAGCCGACGTCGCTTTTTCTATCGATTTTTGACACATACTTGTTACGGTTTTAGTTTAGTATTTTCAATGTCCATATAGTAAGCGATAATTTAGATATCAGAAAGCGATTATAGCCTCTTTATTTGTGTTACATATAATTTTCATTACGCTTTGACTTGTTTTTATAGAAAATAATCATTTTATTCCGAACACTTTATATCAGAGTTCATGGCATTTTAACCTTGGTTCGTGCACACTATCCTCGACCTTTAAAGACCCCGATTTTTACAAAAATATAAAGTTCCATCAATAAAAATTAAATCATTCTGACTTGGATTTTCATAAAAAATATTTTGATATACAATAGATTTATATAGAACCATTTATTTTAACAAAAACGTCATTGTCCACGAACTTTTTGGACAACCCTCGTATAATATGTTACAATAACAGCTAAATTTATCAAATATAGCATCTCTGAGAGGGGGGTAGTTATAATCAAACTTTAAAATACTGGTATGTTTTATCATGATTTTTAAAAATATTATATCATACATGAATTATCTATTATTTATTTTTATCTTATGTAGAAATTTTTTTTAATCTGTCTGTCTTCAAATCTAGGTGTTTTCTAACATGATGCTCGACCGATCCCGTTATTATGGCAAATCTCTGATATTGATATGATGAGATTGAAAGAAATGGCATTGTCTTGCTTTAGATTATTCAATATTTGTCTCTATTAAAATAAAATACTGCGTTTAATGGAACTATTCAAGTTTTACTTATAGTTTTATTAATACAAGTTAGAACTTAGACGTGCAACTTTTTAAAATGACAGAGTAAACTGAATGCTGAAGAGCATTCCTCTTTTAAAGTTATATTCTAATTTCACTCATCAAATCTTGTACAAAATCAGTGTAAAGATCGGAAGACTTTTTTTACAGTTATATCTCTTTTACATTATAAATGTGGAAGAATCCTTCGGCTTTTTGTCTAAGTACTTTTTCATCTTGCTGGTATCCCTTCTTCAAAGATTTCCCATAATAGAGATATACATGTAGTGTATATACTTATTTAATAAATTTCTTGCATTTGTTCTTTGATGATTTTTTTGATAAAGTGATTCGGAACACTCAGAGGAAGACAAGGTGAGTGACAAGCATCGAGGAATCAAGTATCCAATATTTATGCCATTTTATATGCGTTTATATGCATTCCTCTCTTCATAGTAAAATACTTTCATTGCCTCAAAGAACTTTGGAAAATCCAATCGTGCTTGGCACAGAGTCTGTGGATTTCTGAATGAAAAGAGGTTATACAGTGTATGTCTCTTTTTCAAATGAACTCCAAAGGAGCATCAGTTAATTAGGCGGGACGTGGTTGCCATTTACCACTCTTTTAATATTCTTTCATATGCTTGTACAATAATATTCGTAGAAATCATAAAAAGAGAGCGAACTGGTGTCTTAACCAAATTTTATTTTTTCCAACAGGGTAACAACCTAACAGAGGATGACAAAACCAGACCAGAAGTTTTGTCCAATAAATAAATTTATATAAATTAGTCTCTTCTTGACGTTCAATTTGATGACGACATCAATCTCGTGGTCATTTAACCGGTGGTGGTGTTGGTGTTGAAAAGCAGAGGGATCAGGAAAAGAAGAGCTAAAAAGGAATGAAAGAAGATACTATAAATTCATATGACACAAAATATCACAACAAAATATATAGAATTATTGTTTAAAATATTAAATATTTGTAAAAAATACATAAAATGTTCTAATATTCTGATTGCTTCTGTGTTGGATATCTAATTGTTAGCTGATGGTGAAAAAAAAGATTTGTTTAAAAAAAATTAAAATATTTCAAAAATCAATTTTAAGTTAATAGGAAATCTTCATTTACCGAGAAGTCCGATGCCATTTCCACCGAAGATACCGTTATCGTTGTTGTCAGCAGCGGCCAAACCGGCACCAAGACCAATTGGGGGCAGGGGAAGGGGAGCTGCAGCTGGCTGTTGGACTGGGTAAGGGACTGGGTAATAAACAGCTTGTACACCACCTTTCTTTCCGTATCCCTTTCCGTATCCACTGCCGTAGCTGCTTCCGTGTCCGTATCCACTTCCGTATCCGTATCCGGTATCGTAGCCACTTCCGTATCCGTAGTTAGGATAAGACATGTAGCTGCTTCCGTAGTTGCTTCCGTAACTGCTACCGTAGCTGCTACCGTATCCCTCTGCCATGGCAACGGCAATACCGGCCATCATAACTGCTGCAACGGCGACGAATGAACGCATCTGCAAGATAAAAATATTAATCAAATTGAAGTTCAACTATTCTAAACATTGCAAAAAATAATTACTATGCAATCTACCTATGAGGATTTTGTATATTATTCTACATGTATATATTTAAATTTTCCTCTATTTATTCATTTCATTTTTTTTTTTGAAAATAAAAGTTGGCTGTTTAAGAACTTGTAAAAATGTAGGTCCTTATCTTAAGAAAATATTGGGGAGTTAGCTTTGCTTACCTTCTGTCTGTTAGGTTTGTATGAGTGGAACACTGAAGAAAACTTGTTAGTCTCCCTTTATATAGGGGACTCTAGAGTAAAATGACGTAACAACATGGCGTAATACTGCAGTACTCTCCTTCAAATTATAACAGGTGTAGGTTTTATGTAACTATCAGACAGCCAAGGCCGACATGCCTTCCTCTTTCTTTCTTGGCAATTCTAAACGGCAAAAATCTTATATTTGGGTACGACATGGAGTAAAACTGTTATATACAAACTTTTTATTTTGTCATAATTATCATTAATTATTTTATCTATTTATGTATTTATCCATTCATATACTTATTTAGTAGCTTGATGAAGGTGTTCGGTCGATTAGAACCAATGCGACGTGTCAATTGTAGCGTCATATTGAAAATAGAATTAAAAGATGACTTAAATTATTATTTCCCAGGTGAAAATATCTTTGGGGCATTAAGTGCATGTATTATTTTAACACTTTTTTAATAAAACATTTTATTTATGACTTTTAAATTTTATCTTGATTAAAATTAATATTAATTCCATTGTTTAATCATCCATGTTGACTAAATAATTATTATATCCTATGGCTGATAATTAACATATACATGCATCTTATCACATTTCATCACAAAAATATAGAGGGGAAAGGTTTTTGTAAAGAAGAATTTCTTTTAATATTAATAGAAAATTGCTTTATTTAAAGCGCTTAATTTGAAGAAATGTTATAGTTGAATTCAGAGAAAGAAATGCATGTACCAATATCTTGTTTAAATAATTGATTTTGAGAAATTCACTTCCTTCTGATATTTTAATGTAGTACAATTATGATATGTTTTATTCAATGATATCAAATGTTTTTTTTTTCCATTGAGTATGTGTTCCACTAGTGAATTTATATATCCAGAGAGGTAGTACGAATTATTTTACACTTACATTTGTTACATTCTTAATACAACTGAACTGACGAGCTCAGTAATTCAAATTACATGTAGGAAAGCAGATAATGCTATATATTTAATTCATGCATTAATTGAATTAAATTGCTCTCTTCCAATGAATTACTGTGGGCATCAGTGTTATTTTATATCAGTATTTCACTTGAAGAGAAATGATATATTATATATTAAATAATGTGCAGCATGTCTTTCAATCTTGACCTTTAGGTTGAAAGTACACATAAACATACAAGTATGGGTCTGAACCTTCCTCTCCATATTCTTATTACTTAAATTTTTGTTTGTTTGTTTTTTCCATCATTTGTTTTTTGTTTTATATTTATTTTATTGTTTTCTTTACGCACTTTTTTCCCTCAATTTTTCTTCAATTATGTACTCTTTATAATACTTTCAATATTAATTTATAATACATGTTTTGTGGAACTTAAAAATATGTACAGTAATTTAATTGTACCTTGATCACAAATGGAGAGAACTTATATAGGCCCTTGGCCTGCTGTTCAATCCATATTCATATTGTACACTTCTCTGTATATTATGAATAAAATACTTCTTACATGAAAAGAAGAGAAATGATTATTGAGTGCATCAATTAAGGTTTAATTTATTAACATAAACAGTTACTATTGAATGGATGAATATGCACAATAATCTGCAGTATCATGAACTATTTGAAGAAATCTTAGTTTATCTATATTACCTCGTGGTTGCTTTATTTATCATACATACTGGTATATAACTTACATTTCAAGCTCTAAACTCTAATCTTGCAAAGCTTCCGGGTCATAATTAACGTTTAAGCTAAATAAATGACAATCGAATTAGAAACTGCATATGAACATTCGTTCAGTATATCAAAAGTATTGCTGAGGGTTGAACCTCTAAAAGTACCGGTAGGTTTTCTAATATTGAATAATTAAAATATTAAGGAACGTAAAAAAAATTGTACTAATTAAAATCTAGATTGGTCAGATAAGTAAAAGGCATTAATAAAATAATACACTCTCTTGGAATAGCACTGTTTCCTTTTAAATTTTTTAAAATTTTATTATCGTGGTTCCATAAGCATTCTCTTAAAGGGCCTAATTTGAATGTTATGACAGAGTCTGAGTGAAAAGTATATCAGAATCACAGTTTGCAATTGTAACTATACATGCACAAATAAAGCAAAAGCTTTAAAAAAATCAAACAAACATTTTACATTTTTAATCAATTTAATTTCCAGCCACTGAATGAAGATCTTGCGTAATCGGAGCTATGAATTTTCGTATTCTGTGCACTGTGCACTTGAACAAATACAATATCGCCTTTATTTGCCAGAGTCAATGCTACACCGGTTGACATGCGATACTCTATTTCATGGTTGCTGTCAGACGCAATGGAACCAAATACGCTGGAGTTCTTTACGATTTTGGTGAAGATTTGGCCATTTCCGTCGCATTCGATCGTCCAAGTGAAGACGTACATCCCACTTTCGGGAATGGTAAAGATTCCGCTGTAGGGGTTATAGTCGTGACCAGAGGTTGCTTTGATGGTATCAAATACGATGACTTTGTTGGGGGCTGGCGAAGAATCGTGAGTTCCGAGATATGCGTAAAAACCTATGACAGTTGATGTTTTAGCTGAGGGCGTTGGAGTTTCTGCAAAAATAAAATAAGAGGATTTGAATATACTACATTCGACTATAAAATTCAAACCCACTTTAACAATATTAATAAAAGCCATTGAAACAAAAAAAACAAGTATTTACTGACAAAACGTCAGAGATACTCAAGCTGTAGAAAGTCAGCTAGGAAGTGTCATTAATTAATATCCTAAAATGGTATAAGATGAGGGCTATTGAGTTCAATCTTCCGTTGAATAAAATACATTTACATGAAACAAAATTCATATATTGAATTTAATTAGAATAAATATAATTAATCGTACTACTTTTTAAGATGAATTTACGTTACACACTTTCAGGAATATTTTATAGAAGATAGTTGCCGTTTCTTAATTTAATGAAATATTTGTTTATACATGACATTTAATATACTTCAAACTATATACATTTTTTTTTTTTGATTTTTTGCTTAATAACGTACATCAAACCCATAGGCGTCGGAACCGGGGGGGGGTGCTTTTTTTTTTTTTTTACAAAAATAGACATAACATAGGCATTGAAAATTGGGGTTTACGTGTTTTTGTTGGTTTAGCCCCCCCCCCTTTTCAGTTTACTTCCGACGCCTATGACAACATTAATATACATCAATCCAAATAGCTTGTTACAAGCCTGTAGAAAAGTTTCTTCAAAAGGGGGGGGGCTGCGGGCTGCAAATAATCCACGTGACTACGGATTCATCCAGCTGTGCGGCATGTCCAATACATATTCCGTACGAATCCAAAAGAAGTTACATAGGTTCTATTACCAAACTGACGATGATACCATTTTTTAGAAAAACAAACGTACATGAGGGAGAATTTATCATTAATTTTGTGCTATCATTTTATTGTCACTCAAAGTACACATCATTTGCAGGCAAGTGAGTTACAATATCAGATGGGGGGGGGGGGGGGCACAGCCATCCATTTTCTGGCCATTCATTGTAGAATTTGTTAACGATTGGGTAACCTGTGTCACCTTTCACAGTCACCAGTGGACTCGTCCAAGGATGCTTTGTCGGCGACCGAAACGTCGGCGACTGAAAGTTACCTGAGATTCCTACGCAAAGGAAAGCGCGAAATCTCTGTTTAGAAACTGTTGCGACTGCGGGGCTTCACTCATTGTTCATTCGCCATAGAAAAGAATTCGACATTTAACACTTAATATCTATGAATATACAGACGTTTTCAGGATAAGCTTCATTTTTGTTTCTAGAAATATTTTTATCTACCAAAATAATATATTTTCGTGTTTTAAAACTGAGTAAATCGATGACCTAGCATCGTTTTAGATAACTCAAGCCCCTCTAGGGCTTGAGTAAAAAGCAAACAACCATTTAGAAACATCTTTGTCCTTGCATTAATATTACTTTTGTGTTGTCATTTTCTTGAGACTTACCCAATAGAAACCTTCGGTGCTTCAGATTGCTGGTGACTACGTTATTCTCTCCTTTGTTATTTTTCCTTGGAGTCACAGCTTTTAATGTGTTTTTCAAATCTCTTGGTTTCTCCGTTTCATTTCGTCCATGATAATGCACTTCATCTTCATACGGATTGGCCGCATCATGGATATCCGAAACTTTCTGCACCCGATGATCACATCCTCTTTCAAGTTCAGCGATTCTTTTGTCTTGTTTATCTATCTTTTCCTCTAGACGTCGAATCATCAGTTCGTGTTTTTCAATAATTTTCAGCAATGTAGCACTTTCATCCTCACCAATTACTGTTCCAAGAGTCACAAAAACTGTCAATATATACACAAGAAATAAATTCATGTTTAGAATATAAAATGCGCTTGACGGCTTTGTGTTTTGTGATTTCTACTACTTATCTATTTTATACAATTTAACCTAGATTGTCACCTGCATGATCTTATCAGATCAGACAGTAGGTTATTTAAGGACAGTATTGCACACAATTGCATACCACTTATTCTATTGAAAACATAGACAGCATATTTCTTGCTTCTCTCAACTCAAAAAAATAATTTAAGGAAATAAAATACATTTTCCGCTCCATGCATGTCTAAAATAACTGGCTAATGTTTTTACCATTGTCTTTATTATTTTTAACTAGGTTTTTATCAATTATTATATGCATTTTTAGCATTTAAACATGCCAAAATGAATAAATAAATGAATTATTAATATCTGACATAGTTCTTTGATTTCTTTCCACAGTTGAAACCATACTTTCATTAAATAATATTCTCCTATTTACAATAGAATAATTGAATTATGATTTAAAAGTTTTGATACAAAAACAAACAAGTATTTACTGACAAAACGTCAGAGATACTCAAGCTGTAGAAAGTCAGCTAGGAAGTGTCATTAATTAATATCCTAAAATGGTATAAGATGAGGGCTATTGAGTTCAATCTTCCGTTGAATAAAATACATTTACATGAAACAAAATTCATATATTGAATTTAATTAGAATAAATATAATTAATCGTACTACTTTTTAAGATGAATTTACGTTACACACTTTCAGGAATATTTTATAGAAGATAGTTGCCGTTTCTTAATTTAATGAAATATTTGTTTATACATGACATTTAATATACTTCAAACTATATACATTTTTTTTTTTGATTTTTTGCTTAATTTCAAACCCATAGGCTGCTTTTTTTTTTTTTTTTTGCAAAGATAGACATAACATAGGCATTGAAAATTGGGGTTTACGTGTTTTTGTTGGTTTAGCCCCCCCCCTTTTCAGTTTACTTCCGACGCCTATGACAACATTAATATACACAAGTTTAGCTTTTAAAAAAAGCTTAGAGAGTCAGCCAGTGGATTTTTCTTCTCTGTGATAATGTTTTAAAGAATCATAGAGAACTGAAAAAATGCCTTCAACAATTTTTTAATCAGTAGCAGAGTTGGGCACTAAAATTAAAACATCGTCTTAATATTTTTTCTACTTTTTTTAGTTTATTAACTATCGTCATTTGACTTACTAGTAACTAGCTGAATTTTGGCTTAAAATTTTTTCATAAAAAGTAGAATTGAAATAAAGCAAACATTACTTAGACCTACAAATTCATTTATCAGGCCTCTTATAATATAATAAACCTATTAATTCATAAATATGATTGCCACAACCTAGATTATCAGGTCGTAGAATATAAAAAACAAGCCAATTTACGGATAAAAAAAAGCATGCGCAGATCAGGGGGGGGGGGGGGGGTCCAGGGCGGGGCCATAGGGAATTATGGTTTATGACATTTAATTGCAAAAACTCAAAACCTTCTTGAGATATTGACTAGAAATGAAATGAAAGTTTTACACAGAGTCACACAGAAGTATGACTTTATGACACTGACGTTTGAACTCCAAATACACAGGGGTATTCCTTCATGTTCCTAACGCCATATATATGGCCATAGGGAGTTGTGGTATAAAATTTCATTGCAAAAGCTCAATGGCTTATAGAGATATCGCGCGAAAACAAGTGTTTAAGAGACAGAATTTCTGAATTTAATACCTTGACCTTTGACCTCAAAATCAAGAGGGTCTTCCAAAGGCCATATGTGTAACCAGACTTCATGGGATATTGCGGGGAAGTGAAAGTGTTACAGACAGACAGAACTATAGATGGACGGACAGACAGACTGAAATTGATATTCTCTAATTTCAGCGGGAGGCAACAAACGAGCAAGCTTAGCCAGTTGTGTTTTCTTTCCGAAGTATCTGTTGTATGACTTAACAAGTCTGTCTACTATTTAGCATCGGGATCGAAATGATTTGTAGTGAAAACGAAAGTAAAAGCAGTAAAAACTGAAAAGCTAAAAATATGTAATAAACCAATATTTGAACTGTAGATTTAAATACATAAGTAAAAATACTTTCAATATATTTTATAAAAGAGCTTCAATTTACGCGTCAAACACTAAATTCATCCAACAGTAGCAACTGTATGCTTCGCTGCGTAGAACACATGATCATGTGCGAACCAGTTAAATTACTGCGAACCAGTTAACTTTTGAAACCTTCTATACAAAAATAAGCATCGGGAAATTCCTTTTTTGAGTTAAATTTACAGATTACTTTGGTGTTTAATAGGGATTTGTTGGTTTACAATCTATATTGATTTTACTGAAATAAAATTAGCAGGCGTGATTTACTGCAGAACCACTCCCAGAATTCCAGGTCACGCAAGCGCATTGGAAGTTCTTCGTACCATAACTAGTCAGCCCGCGGGCTGACTAATCAATCCAAATAGCTTGTTACAAGCCTGTAGAAAAGTTTTTTCAAAAGGGGGGGGGGGGGCTGCGGGCTGCAAATAATCCACGTGACTACGGATTCATCCAGCTGTGCGGCATGTCCAATACATATTCCGTACGAATCCAAAAGAAGTTACATAGGTTCTATTACCAAACTGACGATGATACCATTTTTTAGAAAAACAAACGTACATGAGGGAGAAATTATCATTAATTTTGTGCTATCATTTTATTGTCACTCAAAGTACACATCATTTGCAGGCAAGTGAGTTACAATATCAGATGGGGGGGGGGGGCACAGCCATCCATTTTCTGGCCATTCATTGTAGAATTTGTTAACGATTGGGTAACCTGCGTCACCTTTCACAGTCACCAGTGGACTCGTCCAAGGATGCTTTGTCGGCGACCGAAACGTCAGCGACTGAAAGTTACCTGAGATTCCTACGCAAAGGAAAGCGCGAAATCTCTGTTTAGAAACTGTTGCGACTGCGGGGCTTCACTCATTGTTCATTCGCCATAGAAAAGAATTCGACATTTAACACTTAATATCTATGAATATACAGACGTTTTCAGGATAAGCTTCATTTTTGTTTCTAGAAATATTTTTATCTACCAAAATAATATATTTTCGTGTTTTAAAACTGAGTAAATCGATGACCTAGCATCGTTTTAGATAACTCAAGCCCCTCTAGGGCTTGAGTAAACATCGTATCGGGAATAAGAAAAATTCTCAAGGTCCCCAAATTAACATAGAAATTACAGCAGGATCTAAACAAACATTGGCCCCTTTCACGGTCCAAAAGCACGTCAAAGTGATTTTCCTTGTTCTCTGATAGATTTTGTTGCAAATCATTATCTTCACTAAAAATTCTCAAAGGGGACTGAACAATTCAACCAAACTCTACGCGTACATTTGAATTTAATCTTGGAGACGAATTTCCTTAAAATTCAATGTAAACCGGTAAATGTACATACTTAATTTCACTTACAAAAGAATAAAGACAAGAAGAGGTCTGTGTGTTTTCTGACATGAGTAGCCTAAAATGACAGATGACTGTTTCAATTGTTTTCAGACGTTATTGTCGTTTAAAAGATAAAGGGTTTTTTCCCTTTTTTGAATCAATATAATAAGCCTAGTATTGCTCCTGTTCTTGTCATTTATTTTTAAAGGTATATTTATACAAAACAGAATCCAGTTATATGAAATACTATAAATCTGCTGCGTCTGACAGGAAGGGCATACATGTAGCAACTGCAAACGCAAACAAAGAAGCTCTGAAGAGAATTGAACTTTTAGCCTCTTTTTTTTTTCGATATGTACATGAAAAAATCAATATTACTATGAATATATACCAATCTTTCCATCCAAATCAGAAGAAAACAAATTGAAGTGAACTAAACAAATTTAAAGTAGAATTATTTATTATTTTCTTAAAGTAACTTTGAAAAATTATCTGACAGAAAATAACACTTTCATCTTTTCATCACAATCAGTTTAATTTCCAGCCACTAAAGGAAGAGCGCGCCTCATTAGAGCTGTGAATTCTGGAACCATGAACATAATTGACGCGAACAAAAACAATATCGCCTTTATTCGCCAAGGTCAGGGCCACGCCCGTGGACATGCGATATTCTGATTCCTGGGTACTATCGGATGCGATAGAACCGAAAAATTCGTTATTTTTAACTATTTGGGTGAAAATGCTTCCACCGCCATCACATTCGATTGTCCAAGAAAACACATAGACTCCGGCCTCGGGAATGGTGAAGACGCCACTGAAGGGATTGTAAGCGTTACCAACATTAACTTTAATAGAGTCAAACTTAATCATTTTATTGGCTGCCGGTGTTGAATCATGAGCTCCAAGATATGCATAAAATCCTACCGCCCCGGAGTCTTCTACTGATGGGGCTGTAGTTGACCCTGCAAAGGAAAAATGCCATTTGTTATCCCCTTGTAATGTAGTTGGAGGGTAAATAGTATTGTGCATGTGTTTGTGGATGGGTTAGTTTGTCCTTTGTGCGTGATAAAATGACGTAATTTGCATCAGGATCGATGCTTAATGCCACCATGATTTACAATATTCCAATCAAGTAATCTACCTTTACATTTACCTTCCAAAATTTAAAAGAAGGAAGGGAGGGGATGGAGGGAAGTATTATGTTCCTCTTTTGATGTAAGTGTACATGTACATACCCAGAAGTAACCTTCGGGGCCGCTCTTTCTTGCCTTCCAACGTTTTGATACTTTTGCTTTTATTCCTCTGGGATACTGATCGAAGGAAACTGTTCTTTAAACTTCCCTCTTTTCCCGATTCATTTATCAATATTGCACTTTGAGATGAACTTTTGGAATCTTCACGGAATGTTTTTGAAAGTTTTAGTGAGTGAGGCGCACAATTTTTCTCAAGCTCAAAAATCCGTCTGTCCTGTTTGTCTATTTTCTCTTCAAGACGTGCTATCATTCGCTCGTGCTTTTCAATAATTTTCAACAGGAAAGCATTGTTTTCTTCGTCTTCTATTGACTTAGACTGTGCAAACGTCATCATGCAAAGAATTAATAAAAATTCCACATTAAAAGCCATTCTCGTCAAAATTTAGGTCTCCTATCTGATATATCAACAAATACTTGAATTTAACCTAGATTGACCCTAACACGAATGCTAGTTATCTAATATGACATTGTCTCGTTTTTAATTCAGGAACTCTGCGTGATAAGACCTCTTGGAATCATTTCACTAATAGAAACATACACAGGTTTTTAATTTAATATTGTCAATGCACTGACACAGTTTTCATAAACCATTAAATTTTGGTTTAAGGCAATTGCAAGTTGCAAAATAGACTTATTTGAAAGCATAGATAATTACTACTGATATTTCCCATTTTAATTGAAAAAAGAAATATAATTTTTATGTCATTTCAAATAATTTACACATTATATAAGTAAGTAAGTAAGTAAATTTTATCTGAAGTCGGCATTGTATACATTGCATAACAATAAACATTAGCTCTGTAGAGCTCTTAAACCGACTATCACAGTTAAAATATCACAAGAAAACATTTACAACATAAATTAACATGCAAAAACACATGTGCATATATACACATACATATGGCAGATAAAACGAATTTTTAAGAATTCAACAAATTTTAAGAGTTAATGATTTTTTAGAATTAGTTAAAGAAAAAAAAAGACAAACTTGAAAAGCAATATGATTGCATTAAGAGGAACAAAAATAAAAATAATGTGAATATTATAAAATAAATAAATAAAAGTCATATGACAGTAATATAAATTAAGCACTACGTTTAACCCATAAAGTCAGATTAAAAATAATTAATTGTATTATTAATAACAATAAAAAATAATTAAATAATTTGAAAGTTTAGAGAATTAAAAATTCACACAGATATAGCTAAACCAAACTAAGAAAGAAGAAAAAAAATAATTTATGTTCCTCATCAATAAACGTCCTGCCTAGTGATTGGGTCAGTCCCTACCTACATAGGTAAGATATGCATTGTTGTGACTGTAAAGAAAAAAAAATTGTTCAAGAGGCCAAAAATTGAAAGAAAATAGGATCCTGGAGAGATTACACATTTGCCATCATATGATGTTACTCCAAAGGTTTCAGTCCCCAGGGCCCTTATTACAGGAATTTTTAAAGTAAATAACAAGGTTTAATTTATAGATATAAAAGAAACACTAGACAACAATAAAATAAAATGAGGTGGTATCAGTAAAGCAAATGAAAGATTTCAAAAATAAATGAAAATTTCAAAAATAAAAAACTGTATCTAAACTTAATGAATAAATAAAAATAAATATTGTCTCATCAGCTATGCAGCCCCACGCTGTGGTTACTGCAGGATATACACCCACATTTGTATTTCTCTATACATGTTCATACATGAATACGTAATGGAATTCAGCTTCAATAAATTGATACATCAAATTCTCTAATTTAGCTTTTATTCTTTTTCGAATAAGAACTTTGACAGACTTTTCTTTCCTTTAGGGTTATGCTACTTGTTTCATAATTAATGCGATATTTTTTTAAACTTTGATGTTAACTTTCTGAATTTCATTAACTATCACGAAATATGGTTTATAGTTAAGAAAATCTTAATATTGAATTTGAATAGGATATGAATGTTACTTTTCAATATAAAAAATTGTCACGAATATTTGATTTCTCGAAGCAAATATTTTAGGATTAAAGATCACAGCTTTAATGAATAATTATATTTTCTTTCTTGCGTACGTGTTCTAAATAAACGAATTTATTTAACATCCTTCCTGATTTATGCAAATGGATTTTATTTTAAAGAAAAATCATATCATGTACTACAGATAAACACATTAATGCAAGATTATGAAATGGAATGCACAAAAATATGTACCAAAACAAATTAAAGCAGAACATTTTATGTAACACGTGTCCAATGCCCTGAGAGGAGACGTGTTACCCGAGATCACATGCTTATTACCTATACATATCTACTTCTATGTAAAGTCTGTCTGACTGTTACCCGCAGGATTACGTCTTGAAGGCGACCGACCATGAATCCTTTGCATATATATTTCCAGAATTTCAGTTCTTTCACCACACAAACTTTTGCACTACAAGGTAAAAGATCAAGTTGCCAGTAACTTTATTTTTTTATTAAATGTTTCCAAAGATTCAGTATTCATATGGTTGAACTTTTTTTAAAAAAAATTAAAATATATTATTCATATCAAGTTTTGTTACAAAAACATTTGTTACTTTTTCCTTAAATATACTTGATTTATTTATTTTGCAAAAAAATTATTTATAATAAATGATCCTTATCTTTTTTAGATGCGCTCCTTCGTCACTCTCGCCGTTCTAGCTCTCGTTGCTGTGGCTGCAGTCCACGCCCAGATTGGTTTTATTTCTGATGATTTCGATGACAGATTTGACGATGATCTATTCGATGACGATCGTTTGATCTACATTGGAGGAGGATTTTCTCCCAGCTACGGACCACTGTCCACTGGTTACGCCATGGGAGTAGGATCAGGACTAGGCTACACAATGGGATCCGGAATGGGATATGCTCGTATGGGAAAATCCGGCAAGACTATGTACATCCCATACGCCGTCCCCACCCCAGTCACTCCTCCTGTGGCTGCTCCTTCTATCCCTCTGGAGCTGGCTCTTGGCAACACACAGAACCAGAATAACGGTATCTTTGGCGGAAACGGCGCTGGACTTTTATGTAAGTTCATTTAATCCGTATCAATGAAAAACAACTCCTTATTTTCACCACTGCAAATGTATATCTCTTTAATATAAAAGCATATAACGAAAAAAAAAAATTAAAAAGCAAGACAATTGAAATAAAATAAATTAAATATATTTTGACAAAGGTGAATAACTTTTTAAATTAAAATAAATATATATCAATATTCTCATTTTTGTTTGCAGTCCTCTTGGTTTTGTTGCCCCTCCTTCTCCAGAACACCGCTACTACTACCGGTTAAAGTTAACGTGATCATCAGCTTACCAAATATGTCCTCAATGAAGGTAAATATTGAAAAAAATACTGTCAGACTTTGTAAAATAATTTAGAAGAAATTATGAAAATCCTATTATAAATTCTTAGATTTATAAATGATAAGATAGGCATCATAACTGTACATTAATTTTCATATACGTAAAGAGATATATTTGTTCATTCTCGTTTTCTTTTTTTAGGCGAAGCAAGCCATCCAATGTGCATCTTGTTCTATTTTTATTGTATACAAATTGAGAAATCTGTAATAAAAATAGAAATATTCACCATAAGTATATTTATTTTGTTATTTGCTAAAAGGTCATTTCATGCACCGAGAAAATCAACACTTGTGAATTGAAGAATTGGTACGCAAAGCGCATAGTAAACAAGAAACTCTTTCATTAAAATCATGCTCGAGCAGGGTTTGATTGAGTTTCTTCCAAATAGAAAAAAAAAACATATTGACATTTTTTATGTCCTTTTACATATAAAAGGAGTGGGCTAAATGAATTCGAACTTGGGTATGTTGCAGTTAATCTTTCCTTTGAGGTTTGAGATTCAGAGCGAATGTTTTGATCGACCTTACTTGGGGCCATTTAGTTACTTATTTAAAAAAAATAGTTCGGGCAATCGGCTATCATTCTGGGAGGTTTTAAAAATAAAAATGGTCTCTTTGTGTGGAAGTTTGGATGCAAAGTATGCATTGTCTGATATAATAAGACTACATGTTCTCTGTGTACATAACGCTTTGGATGTTAGGTACTCTAAATAGTATTGGAATAAAAATGAAGTTTGTGTTAAAGGGTGTGCAATGCAAAATATATCACACTTAATGTTTATTATACACTGTTGATGAGCAAGTTCAAGATGATATCAATGATAATGATATCAATGGAACAAATCCCTCAAAATATAAAACAACACGAAATAGAGAGTAATATACTAGTGTCACAGATAATATCCAGAAATTGGAAATGAAGATGTAATACAATGTTCGTAGAATATTCAAAGGGAGATAATCTCAAAATCAACTTCATTACATATTTCTTCCAATTTGTGGGATAGATATACTCGTATGTAATGAAGTATGATTATTCTATAGTCACAAAAATAACATATTATTATATTTGAAAATATATTAATCTTAACATTCTATAGGTTTAGTCGTTCCACTTATGCTATATACAAGTATGAATGGTACCCGTAATGCTAACAAACTCTACTTAATAAATAAAAGCGATGTTTGAAAAAATATATATTTTGAATTGCTTACTTTGAGCAATGTGATATCTTTTCATACATCGAAAATCACATACATATGTACATGTAATTTAGTAATCGGATTTACAATACATAAATCGTATCTAATATATAACCAATATTGATCTTGTAATATTCATATTTTTACTTTTTCTTGTAGGCGTGATATAATAAATCACTTGCGGGGAAGGGGAGGTGGGGGTATAGCATGTGATCTACGGAATCACTTTAATGAAGAATGTCTATTTTTTGTTTGTATGATGAAGATCAAGCTATTTTGAAGCAAGCAGGTGTGATAATTTTATGCGAATAAAACATGGTCTCAAAAGGAAAACCTATAATTTAACAGTGTGTCTCGTAAAGCGTTGGGAATAAACTTTCAGTTTACTTGAATTATTTTGAATTAAATTTAGTTCAAATTTAATTTATCTGTAAATATGGTAAAACTACTATGAGTGATTGTAACACATAGGCATTTTTTTTTTTTTAATCTAAAAATGAATTAAATTTAGTTCATTAATTCTGTAATATTGTACTTATGATAAACACATAGGCATTTTTTTTAATCTAAAAATGTTAATGCAAGCCTATTTAAAAAAAATATTTAGGGAGAACTGAGGTTTTTTAAATAAAAATTTAAAGTATACATATAATTAAAACACGTATTTTGGCAAATTGTATAACTTTATATATGCATCCATGTATGAAATCAAATACTTTTACATTTAAAAGTTATTTAGGTAGATATAAAACTCAACAAATAAAATAAATAATTAAAACAGATCTAAGCAAACGGGGCGGAATCTGGCCGAACAATTACGGGCACAGAATTACCGACATGAATACATGTACATGTAATACTACAGAGAAGTATTAATCGACTCATGCAATTTTTTTATGTCCCTGGATCGAAAGATCCCGGTGGTATATTGTTGTTGTTCCGTTTGTCTGTCTGTCTATCTGTTTTTTTTTTCTGTCTACCTGTTGTCAAACTTAGCCTAGCCCAATTTCTATTGAGTGGATGGGGATATGGCTTTCATATTTCACAGGTGTATTCCTTGTGACAAGACCTATCTTTGGGTATTACCAAATTTGACCTCTTGACCTATAAGTTTGACCTACTTTTACTAAAAATACCACAGTTTAACCTTGGCCATAACTTTTGAACAGTTGGAGGTAAAGCTTTTATACGTCAAATGTGTATTTATTGTGACAAGACCTTTCAGCTGGTGTTAATATTTTGACCTTTTAACCTTGACCTAAGAGCTTACATATTTTTTTTTTAAAAAGTTACCTTGGTCGTAAGTTTTGAACAGTTAGAACTAGGGTTCTCATATTTCACAGGTGTATTCCTTGTAACACCTTTTGACTTTGACCTTTGGAGTTTTATCTTCAGAATTTGAGAGAATTCAACCCTCGCCATAAGCTGCCATAGGGGGCATCATTATTTCACAAATGCATCTTGTTTTCATGCAGTTAAAAGCTCTATTCTTTTAAGGACATCTTTCAAAAAGTGTTTGGTTTACCTCTCCAAGCTTGCAAAAAATGACCCATGGCCTACTAAACTTTTTCTTATCCCCGAGATGCTTTTATGATGCATTCTGGAAAAAAGATTTTAAGAAATTAGCATTAAACTCGAAATTTTCTGAAAATAAAAATTCGCATTATTACAGGAGTTCGCGTACCTACATGGTATCAGTTTTACCGAAATTTTCAGTAAATTAAAATAATAGATATGACGTATTTTTTTTTAATAACTTACTGAAATTTTCAGTAAAATTGATAAGTACACGAACTCCTGTACACCTACCTACCGACCCATTTATTTTCATCCTGAGTCGGGAGAGGGCAAACAAACATTATTTAAAGTTAGCCTAACCTGGGCAGAATTCGAAATAAAACAACTCTCTATATATACATGTATCTATTTATATTTATGATAGAATGATCATGTTAACTTTATTTTTTTTTTAACTTTGTCTTTCTCTGATTCTTGGATTTTTTTTACTCATACTTGTACATGTACTTTGTTTTTGGTTTCGATACTGCTGTTTCTTGCTACAAATTGATTTTTTATCTTATAGGTAAACCTTTGAAAATATTTGATGCAAAATGACTTTAACAAATTTGTAATTTTTACCCCAAACAAACAATACCATGTTAATTTAAAAACTTTTTTTTACATTTAAAAAACGTCATGACTTATTTTTTAAAAATCATTTTTTTTTTATATTTGTCAGAAATTGAAAATTCTTCGGTCCTTCGGTCTTCGCAAACAGATCGACATGATAAAGTAACACTATAGCAGTACAGGAAATCTTTATAAATGGAGAGAAACGTGACCTGTGAAATACACATAAATTTGTGTCTTTGACGATGAACATATTTTTAATTAAATATTTGCCATAAGGAATGATCGTACAATATAGGTGGATATCAGCTACAGGCCTTGATTTAATTTCAGATCAGAGAACGTTAAAGCGGAAAAACACACACACAACGTTCATCCACAAATTTTATTTTAATAATTTAAAAATATAGATGCTAAAAAATTAGGGTGAGGGGTGGGGATGGTGCAGCTACTAAAAATATTCATCTTTAGCTTAGTTTGCATTATTGGTATTTAACTCGTATGTGTGCTAGTAATATATGTAAAATCCACCTATGACGTCATTCTTTTGTTTGAGCGCTCCATTACTTTTAAGGAATGGAGAGTTGCAAATTACATTGAAATCGAAATTTGTTATTCATCTTTTTTAGAGATATTAAAGGTTAGTTTCACATTAAGAAAATTAGATCACCCATGATTGCATTATTGCAGTCCGATTTTTTAACTAACGTATTGGTTTAGTGTACATTTTTTTTTAGTTTTTCTTTCTATATTATATATAAATACTACTACTAATATGTAATATATGTATCATATAAATATTCTTTATTATGTATTAACAAACAATAAAAACAAGCATTTTTTACTAAATATACTCGATTTTTTATTACTTTTAAGGAATGGAGCGTAATGACCTTTTCAGATTTTTTACCACTATGACTTCCTCTTGAGCACATACCTGTTTCGTAATACTAACAAGGTAGGTCCCACATTAACAGGTAATAGTGTTGTCGTTGTAAGTCAAATCATAACCTGTCTGCAAACGTGTCGGATAGAAGGGTATATATAAAGAAGTCAATTTTACTATCATTTCACAAATCATTTAATTACAAGGTTAATATATCGGAAATTTCTAAGTCAACTAAATATTGAATATTGAAAAAGAAAAGTTGCGTGGAATTCATGAATATTTTTTTAGCATTTCGTTCTCTGTATAAATTTCGTATTTTTTCATCTTTGATTTTTCGTTTCTAGATGCGTTCCTCAGCTGTCTCTCTCGCTGCCCTTCTGGTTCTCGGCGTCGCACTTGTCCGCGCCGATTACGGATATTCCAGTGGCGGATCATACGATCAGTCGGGATACTCATCCGGATACACAAGTGGATATGACCAGACCGGATACGTTGCCGGATATGCCGGAGGAATTGGTGGATATGACGCTGGATATGCCGGAGGAATTGGCGGATATGATGCTGGATATGGCGGATACAGCACAGGAATGAGTGGATACGGACACAAATTATCCGGATACGGATCAAGCGGACATGGATACGGACACAAGAAATCAAAGACCGTATACGTGCCATATGCTGTCCCCACACCAGTTACCGCCCCGGTCCAGCCCGCTCCCCTCCCCATTGGTCTGGGTCTGGGTCTAGAGGATAACAATGACCAAGGAGTTTTCGGAGGAAACGGTGCTCTTTTGGGTAAGATTGCTTTTATGTGATTTTAAAAAATAGGATTGGTAACAAATCAGAATATATTTATAAAAATCTTTTTATATCCATATAAAATAAAAAGAATCAATTTATGAATTAATTTATGCAAATTTTAAGATTTTTATAATCAGTCTAAGATTATATGCTCATGAATTTAATTTTTTTTTTTATTCTTTATTTTCAGCTCTTTTAGCTCTAACACCATTCCTTCTGAACGGTAACCTTAACCTCTCAGGTTAAGCGGTTACTGGCGGTTACCTCCCCTGCCTAAATCACAACAAAATTAAGGTATTACACCATAAGAATTTTTGTTTTAATATTCTGATGTATCAATATTAATGGAATCACTTTGTTACAATTAGCTCGATTTTTTAAAAACTTAAATGCTAGAAATTGTGCTTAAAGAACTACATGTAACTTTGATTTTTTTTTAAAAAAATCAATTTCCAACTTTTTCTTTATTTTTTTTTCTGTCTTTTGTAGATATATTTGTGGCAGCTCGGAGTTGACAGCGGGAACTGTTTTCGCTTTTTTATTTATATAACATATTGAAATAAATATGTTTTAACACTAGACAGCTAGGTTTTTTTGTCTATAAAAGAAAATTCTTTTGAGGTATACTTAACTTAGTTCAGGACGCATGTGTCCAGAAAAAAACTGAAACAGTTTGATTAAGACATAAATATTTAGGTAAAGCAGGTGAATTAAATATAAATTACAAGTTCAAATACACAATGTATAATTAAAAGTTATATATTACAATTTGAGGATACACTTTTCACATGGTCTTAGATTTGAGAATGGAATACAAGAATTAAGTAAACCAGTACGTCTGAATTTTGTATGCAGACAACGAATGCCTGGGCAGTGACAATGCACTTACACATTCATATAACATATCCATGAGACAAAACAGAACGAAGTCTTCCATTTGTTCAATATGCTTTATTTTTTATGACGATACACATTGCTAGTAAGTACATGGTCATCGTTAGGTAGTATACAACACAGAAGGGATAGAAATGACGTGGTCTTTGTCTTTGTTTTGCCAGGGAATACCTTCCTGGGGGAGCGATCTATAATCCTTGTCAACATATCCTGTTCCATTGATTCCTCGGTCATAGAAATATTGTGATAACTTTCTGAAAGTTCTTGAAAACACGCACCTTTTGTACAAGATTCCGAATCCAGATGACATGGGACCACGGAATCCTTTGAGAGTTCCCTTGGATCTAAATAAATTTCTTTGTCAGTACAAAGAGGCTGACTAAACTCTTTTTTGTTGGATTTGTCTGGAATATTATTTTCTTTGTTGGGAGCGTCTAGAATACTGTTTTCTTCCTTGGGGGAAATGGGGAGGAAATACTGTTCAATAGATCTGGGTAGTAGGGGGTCGCCACGTGAGTTTTCACTAGTCGGTGAAAATGGCAGCGTTTCTGTGTTAGAACGGAAGTTTGGGTGTTCTGCGGGTGGTGGAGTGTTTTCTTTAGCGGACACCTATGAAAAAGAAAATAATTTTAAATAAACAATGACCGATGTTCTCGATATATACTAAGTAAATCCCCAAAACTGGTAAGCAGCTACTGTAGTACAGTTTCTATGTCATGTATGTATACATACAAAATAGAATATAAGTACAGTGTACATACTAATTTAATTACTTACTAGTATTTGAAGGGGGGTTACAACATTTATAAAGAAATAATTTTACACATTCACGTCTGAATTAATTACGGACAGGTTTCATGTCATGAACAATTAAAAAATAAGTACATACATATCACCAATTAATGAATACATGTACTTCATCAAGCTTGTACAGAAGACATGTTCCATGCATTACAAATAGACTTGGAAATAAAGAGGAAGACGAAACATTCTAGACTAAATGATCGTAAAATTTATATTCTCACCTGATAGTTTTGCCAAAACTTTTCTCGTTCCTCGTCCTGACTGCCCCGTAGCCGCCGTCTTTTTGAGGGACTTTCCCTGTAATTCCGTTTTCCGGGGGCATATCTTGGTAAAACCTCCTTCATGTCTAACAATACCCAGTCATTGAACTTCCACACACACTGACTCCTGAAGGCACTTTATTATTCCTATATGGAGTGATCTCCCTTAATTAGTGACTCAGTGGCGCTCATTGGCTGCTTGACACTGAGTACTGAGTTGATTAAGGCGAGTAAACTATGTTTTCATTAACACCAACCGGGCCTGATCTTGGATTAATTAATTGATATGTAAAATGGCTATTAAGTAATTCTAATTAAATAAGTGCGATGGTGACAGATAATAGACATTTTGTTTACCAATTAAGTAAATTTTGATTTTATTATGTTGTAAATGAAGTATATTGTCTTTATCGGCGCATAAATTACAATTTTTAGTACAGTCATTCAATATTGTCATAAAGGCAAAGCCTTTTATAAATAAATTATCCCACCGTGATGTTTCCAACTATGACACCCAGCAAACAAAGCACTGGTTCTTTATATTTACATTTATTAGCTTATATTGGTAATTTATAGGTGAGGCACCTGTTAGGTGGTTTTTAAGCTATATATAAACACTGCACACTATAGAGAGCTTTACTTACAGGGTAGTTTTATGCAGTTAGAGTGATCTGCCCTCACGAGTAAATTTTTAAAAAATTTATTTACAGTTAATTATACGATTTGTAACATGTGTAATATATTAAAATATTTTCATCATTATATAAGACCAAGAATAAGAAATTGAATTCATAATTTTCATAAATTTTCCCAATGTAAATAAACGAATATCCTCACACCGGTGAAATTATTGGAGCCCACCAACCACCCCCTCCCCATCCCCTTCGGTTCCTACGGCCATGTGTAATACTAAATAATTGTTTGTATTGATTAAGAAACTACATGTAATTACCAAAAGACAAAGCGCCAAAAGAGGAACTAGGAAAAGACGTGCATATGTTTCAATCTCCTAGCGTGCAAGAATGTGTTAACCATAGGTGGTACAAGGATATTGTATAATACATGCATCTGGTGAGTTATAAGGAGATATACAGGGTGTTTTATTGCAACCAATACAAGTCTTCATGTAATTTAACACTTTCACTGGGAAATCGATTGAAATTAATTACATGTATACAGCATATGTACATTTATGCACATGTATATATATATATGTAAATAATGATGATCGTTTGTTTTTTAATCACTTGCACAACTTATCCTCTTTTCCTCTTTAACTTTTCATAAATTGTTTTTAAAGTCCAATGATTACTGTAAGTAAATTCATTTACTTACAGTATAAACATTTCTTTCAAAAAAATCATTTATGTTCCAGTATAATATCTTGATCAATGTATAATCAAGTTTTGGATTTTTAATTGAAAAAAAAAAACTTTGATAAGAAAATTTTCATAAATATGTCATACAACTATAAATTAAAAAAAAAACATGAAAAGAAAACAGAAACGGTTTTCAAATGCAATATTTAATTTTATTCGATAGGAAGAAACAGCAAGCACAAAGCATCGTAGAATTTACTATTTATTTTATGCTATTTCTTAACTGTGTCCATGGATCTGCTCTTAGCTCGGTAAAGCACTGCCCGCAAAGATCATGAAGAATGATGAAGTTTTATTGAGTCATGATCCGCCGATTCAGTTCCTGATATATGTAGTACATTTTTCATTAGTACCGCGTAAGATCATGACGGATCGATATACAATGTGCTTATCTTCAACCATGCAGGCTATGGGTTTGGGAGTTGGGAGGCTCGAATCTCGGACTAATAAGGTTTTTTTTCCTCCCGGGAATATTTTCTCTGACAAAAAATCCATTCTTAGACACAAGTATATTCTCAATAACTATTTTTTACAGCATCTGCGGCATCATACACATCGGAAATGTATAAAAATAAATGTATTCTGAAATCATGACAAAAATTTGGTTGCATTTTTCCCGCTCAAAACTGTCGAGTTTTTTATACGGTGATGCGGCTATCAATGGAAATAGTATTGCGAGACATGGAAGGTTTCTGGGATGCGTTGTTAAACTGGTTTCTGTAGTCCCTGTTAGCGGTAAATCGGCCACCTCCGTACATTTCCTTTGGAGCAAATCGACTCTTATGTATATCTGGCATCTTTCCCCCGGCCACGGATGGAAATTCCGGATTTCCATATCTATCTGGATTTATGTTATCTTGGTAAACATCTGGTGGATTCATGTATCCATCTCCTTGAAAGGAATCCATATATGCTCCGAGATCTGGAAGCCTACCTCCAGTTTGTGGATCTGGGTATCCAATGAATTCTTCTGGATTTGCATAACTGGTGTATGCTGATGGATCTCCTGCCGAGAAAGGATCTTGCCCTGAGGTCACGAGGCTCACATACTGCTCGATAGTCAACTCAGTTACTGACGTCGGCGTTTTTATCTTAACTATTCTTCTCAGCATTGTTGGATCTAGGGGAAAGAGAGGAGGATGGGGGATATGCACTTCATGAGGCATCATCTTAATATATTGTTCCATTAATTGTTGCATTGGGTTCTCCCTCTCCACATAGACTTCTTTTGGAGGAGGCTTTGCCTTCTTCTTTTTCGCTTTCTTCTGCTTCTTTTCAGCTTTGTCGATCTTCTTCCTAATACTCTCCACATCAAGGCAAGCCAGGGGAGGTCTCAACTTTTTGGCTGTTGGCTCAGCTAACCTCTCTAATTCTATGCACGGAGCAGATCTGGTTGCGTTGTTGCAGAAAGACGGTGGCACAAATTCTCCTAGATGAGGCAAGACCTCATACTGTTTGCTCTTTGAAGGAAGCTTTTTTGTGGGAATGCTAGGGATCTTTTCCCTTGGCTGTATGCTATTTGCTTTTGGTATGTCCGGGATAATACTATACATATTGCTATGAATAAAAAGAGTGTCATCGCTCTTTTTATCTCTCCGTCCCATCTGAAAGAAAAATGTTTATATTATAATACATATAACATATTTTATTATTCTCATCAATGTAAAATATGAACACAATATATATGCCAGCATCCCTAAACGAGAAATGTAAATATGTAAAATCATTACGGATTTGAACTGTTAGTATTGTTTCTCACGTCCTACATGTATTTTTTTTTCAAAAATTGTCTCCTTCTTAAAACCCATGCTACGTAGAAAAATTATTTAAAACAAGTGTGGATCTTACCTTAATGATATTTCCAGAATTTGCTTTGGAAAATGTCAAACTGCTTTAAAGATCGAGGTAAACTTGCATGAAAAGATAGCCAACAACTATTATGACGCCGCTGACTAATTGTGACGTCATCATATTGTGTCGTCATAGAGATCCTAAAGAAAGAACAACTAACGTGAATATTAACTTTCCGAATTATTAAACTGGAGAGGAAAAATACGGAAATCACTTCATTTTTAAAAAAGGAGCTTGGCTCTGATTATTACCATCACTTGACCTACGTGTTGTTATCTGCACCTTATGTCATAATTTAAAATAAATACTTGTAATATTGAAACATTATGATGGATCAAGATAGAGTCGTGGAAAACTTAATTTGCATGTATTTTCTCCATTTGAGTAAACAAAGGCAATTTTTCTTCATCATTTCTCAATTGTCTTTGAAGATTTTTCCCGAGTAAAAAAGCGCTCACTATATTGAAAATGAATTCCTTGTAATTAATTTCAAAATAGATCTTTCCAGCTCCTTCGTCCCATATAATTTTATCTTACTAAAAAAATGAATAAATAAATAAATAAAATGAATAATTATTCGAGTGTATAGTGTCCGTAAAGGTTTCATCCGGTGCCTCTCAATTGGGAGAATAATTATTTAATTTTTATCAATTTGGGAAAGGGGTGATTTTCGTTTGGTCAAGGGTGGAACTTTTAATTTTCAAAAGAGCGAAAAATACGTAGATAATGTATAAAAACTAAACGACTTACTTTTAATGTACTATTACATTATTTTATTTGATTGTTAAAAGTATGCATCGTACATCAAATTCGCATTTTAATTCATTTTATTATTAATTAATATCCTTTTTACACGTATCATGTTCCTTAATGTTTAAAGAAATAAATAATTTTGCCCTTTTTATTAACTTAAATATTTGGTAAAACAGCCGGTAAAACTTGCCAGCTACTACACTTAAATGACCTTTGATTGTGCTTTTTTGGCTAAATAAATTGTTTTGAAAAATATCTGTTTTACTTTTTTTTAACAATATTTTATTCACTTATGTTATCGTGAAGAGGATTGGGCAGCAGGCGCAGCCTATTTTAGCCCTCTCCCTACATTTAGGTCAAGGTACAATATAAATAGTAATAATAAAAGAATGTACAAAAGAAGAGAAAAAAAAACACAGACAAAAATGAACAAAGTAACATAGAGAAGAAAAAATGTACAAAAGAGAAAAATGGAATGAACAAAATAACAAAAAGGGCAAATTACAGGGGGGGGGGGACAAAATACAAAGTAGTACCGGTTTGGAAGTATTTCTAACAATTAAAAAATACACCTTTATATGTATATGACAGTGTTTTATATAAAACGTTTTGTTGCTGCTATAAATGTATGTACAGCTTCAAATATTAATTTTGTATATTAATGTCAAGTCCATGGTTAGTCCATGTTTTACTTTTACTACAATATAGAACAAGAAGTTAAAAAAGGGGACTACTTTGAAGCATTTCACAGTTGACTTTAAATCCTTTAATCATTTTTTAATAAAAACAAAGATAATACATGTACTTGGGAAGTTTAAGATTTGAAGTGGCACCTTACACATACGGTTACTTCCTCCTTCCTAATCAATAGCACACACATATTACGTAAGTCAGGTAAGGTCAATCCCAAGGTAACATGAATTGGAAAAAAGGTTTGGTGATTGCGTATAACATCATAACAGTTGTCTAGGATTAAAAGTATAAATGCTTGAGGAAAGTTTTATAAAATATATATTCACAGACCACTCAAGGTAAACCTCGTATTAAAAAGCAGATTTTTTTTCCTAGAAAATAAATACAGTAATACAGAAAAGAAGACTTATTTCAGTTTATTGAGGGATATGGGAGATTTTTTATTTAATCTCATTCATGTTTAATTATTTAAATCGTTTTGAAAACACTGTTGCAGAAACAGCTTTAAAAATGTTTTGACATGTATTTCATTCTAAATTATTCTTCATTTTCAGATGCGTTCCTCAGCTGTCTCTCTCGCTGCCCTTCTGGTTCTCGGCGTCGCACTTGTCCGCGCCGATTACGGATATTCCAGTGGCGGATCATACGATCAATCAGGATACTCATCCGGATACACAAGTGGATACGACCAGACCGGATACGTTGCCGGATATGCCGGAGGTATTGGTGGATATGATGCTGGATATGCCGGAGGAATGGGCGGATATGATACAGGATATGGCGGATACAGCACAGGAATGAGTGGATACGGACACAAATTATCCGGATACGGATCAAGCGGACATGGATACGGACACAAGAAATCAAAGACCGTTTACGTGCCATATGCTGTCCCCACACCAGTTGCCGCCCCTGTCCAGCCAGCTCCCCTCCCCATTGGTTTGGGTCTGGGTCTAGAGGATAACAATGACCAAGGAGTTTTCGGAGGAAACGGTGCTCTTTTGGGTAAGAATTACGCATTTTTCATCGCAAGTTCTTTTAACTATACTAAATATCGCTGAATGCAATTTTTAAATCAAAATAGCATGAATAATAATGAATAATCCATTTACATATAAAAAGTTTTTAAAAAATATTGAAGGTTCATCTAAAACCTTTGTTTTATTCTGTAATTATTTATATATACATGTAAATATTTTACAAAACTGTGAATTAAATTAAAAATGCTGTTTTTTCGCCAAATTATGAGATTTCAATCTTGTTTATTTCAGCTTTGTTGGCCCTATCTCCTTTCCTTTTGAACGGAAATCTTAACCTCTCCGGTTAAATACAGAAACCAAGTTATTCCCCCTCTCCAATTTTACAGGTGAGAGAATTAAACACTCCCCTTACTCGCCTGAAAATATAAATTTACCGTAACCCGTTGTATCATGTAGTGCTGTGGGAAATTATTTCAATGATCATTATATAATTAAGTTTTACTTTATTTCTCTCAAACAAGATTAAGAACGTATCAGCAGAACTTTATTTATGCCCTTAGGAATAATTTTGTACAACTTTTTTTTTATTTTCAGATGTTTTTGCCACGCACTTTGGAGTCGCCAAAGGGGAACAAGCTTCAACTATTTATTTATTTGTTGTTTTTTTACATGTTGAAATAAAAACACTATTACGAAAGAAAATTGTTATTTTTTTTTTCAATTTCTTCTCTGAAAAATGGACCGGAATAGAATATATCAGAACCTTTATTCTGAGAGAACGTATATTTTAAGTGCACGTCATCTTTGATGTCACACAATTTCAATGCGTATTCTGAGCATATCGCATTAGCAGTACAAGTCTCCTACCAGCAAAAGTAATACGGTTCCTGTTAAAATTTGAAAAAGCCAGATATGATTCCGTAAAAAATCCATAAAACGGAACGAAATGCAAACTAGCTCTATAACTCATCTTGGCCAAGTCACATACCAAAAATCAGCTCATTTTCTGCAAGTGTTCAGAAAAAAACGTGGAAACCCAAATGGGAGAGACTGACAAAGGGACAAACAGACGGACGGACAGCCTTAGAAAAAAAAAACATATAGCTATAGTCTCCTCCGGTTTCACCGGTATGGGACTAATAAAATTTTGACAATTCATGAATAGCAAAAGTGCTTGCCATACCTCTAGTCCTGATTTATCATTAATTTTTTCAAGAACTTCAATTATTTTTTTTAAAGTACAGTTTGAATTTCAAAACAAGATGTATTTTTGACACTATGCTCCCGGTGGCAACAAAGTTCGAAAAAACAATTTTAGCATATAGGTCACAGTCAAGGTTACAAGGTCATTGATCTTGATCATTGAAAGAACTTGATTAGGCGAGTAAGCATATAAATATGAAGTCTCTATCTCCTATGGTTCAAAAGTTATGGCCATATTCAAAAAAGCTATTTTAAGCATATAGGTCACAATCAAGGTCACAAGGTAATTGACTTTGATTATTGAAAGAACTTGATTAATGGAGTATGCATATGAAGTCTCCATCTCCTATGGTTTAAAAGTTATGGCCAAAGTTCAAAAAAGATATTTTTTGCATATAGGTCACAGTCAAGGTCACAAGGTCATTGAACTTGGTGTCATTTGAAAGAGCCTATAAAGTGGAGTACGCATACCAAATATTAAGTATCTATCTCTTACGGTTCAAAAGTTATGGCGAAGGTTAAAGTTGACAACAGACAGGCCCCTAACAAAGAACATACACTACTGAAAACAGCACCTGGCATTGATCCTGATGTGAATTACGTCGCGGTTCCGTTTCGTACATTACATTAACTCACTCACCTACTCACCGGCACAAACAAACATACACGACTGCGTCACTGCATCCCCACCAACTGTGAAGGGATAAAAAAAAACCAACATATTTCCTTGTCAGTCCATTTTGTTCCCGAGTCAAGTGTCCTTGCACGTTAATGATCCATCTTGTTCATGAAGATGTGGAAATTAAATGACTTTTTTTTTTTGGGAGTGTAGATCCAGAGATGAATTCTCAGTTTTTCATTACTTATCTTTCTTTAACATTGATGATTTATAACAATGATTCAATGTCTTTTTCCTCATTTTGTCATTTAGATGTTCTGAACCTACGACTCAGGCACTATAGGAGTTAGGAAAGGAATAGAATTTGGTTATGTCTAGAGTTAAAAAATATTACAATGTATATATCTATTCTCTTGGGAATAGAAAAATGGGAATAAAAATGCTCGTAGCAATTTAGTGGAAGGGGGAGGGACCTCACCCCACCCCCCAAAAATACTGACAGGGAATAGTGTTTGAAAACTAAAGCTCAAACTCTAAATCCTATATCCGCTGGGTTATTCAAACTTTGTGGGGATCTGGAGGAAAATTGGTGGGGAGTTGCAATTCAAATATTTCGGTAAATACTGGAATTTGCCAGCAACACAAAAAGTTAGGGGGTCTCTTCTTGGCGAAATTGTACAGAGTAGTAAAATTATAAAATATTAAAACTTGTATTCTTGGAAAATGTTGAAATAAAGGGGTATGGGTGGTCCTCAGTGTTCTATAGGACTGTATTTAATAATCTACTTATCGAAAAAAAGGAAGAAAGTTGGGTCATATAATGTGTATTTTACCAGTATCATTCAAATCTTTTTTAGATTCGCGAAGATTTTTTTTTTACTAGTATATTCTGCATGATGTACAAAACAAACTTTTGAATATTATGGACATATTCTGTTAATTTATAACATTTAACCTTGACCATTTATGTTTCTCTGTACAATAAAATTAGATTTTAAAAATACGCGTATATACGGTACCGTAAAACTTACATGTAAATCCTTCAAGTAAGACCAGCCTTACCCTGAGGTCTATTATTTCATTATAGTATAAAGGTTTGAATAATTCATGCACTATGTATTACTATTTTATTACTTCCTCAGATTTTTTTTCATATTTTCCTATATTCATTCATTCTCATGTCTAATGTTGATAGCCTATTTTGTTCCGACTCTTTGTTTGAACAAATTCGGGAAAAAAAATCCTTGTGTATCAATAGGACTAGCTGTGTCTTTTTTTTTTTTTTTTTTTAGTTTTTCATAGATTTTTTTCTCCTTATGTATGTATGTGCATTCTAATTTCAAAATTTGACCCTCGAAATAAGCTTATTATAGGTTCAGGTACCTTGATTTGAAGAGACCTGATTCTACAAGTTACTTGAAGATGAGATAAATTGTAAGCCGCGTATCCATGAAATTTTTTTCCCGGGGGGGGGGGGGATCCCAGTCATGAAACGTGATCTCCTTCCCCAAGAGTTAAAAACCTCATTCGTGGGGGTGGAGGAGTGGGGTGAGTAGTCTTTGACTCCTAAAGTTTAATATACTAGTATCTATGATTTTTCACAACAATTTTTAAATAAGATCTGCATTTTCTATTGGGAGTGGGGTGGGGTTTTCCAAGGTCACATTTACCGCGGTAGTTGACTTCGTATATACATTAAATAACTGCACATTCAGTGAGGGATGTTGGTTGAAGTGCTTGTGAAGAATATATTAAAACTGAGTCCAAGTGACATAACTCTGTCCCAAATTGCTCGATCGTACCAAAATCAGAACTTGACCTAGATATTCAAATGATAAATCTGTATATTAAATTTCATTTCAGTATGTGCAGTATGTGCAACCTCTGCGAAGAAAATGAACGGAAACTGCAAATAATTGGAATTTTTCTAAATATCTAAATATAGGAGACATGACTCTGTCCAAAATGGCCTGATCGTACCTAAAACAGAACCTGACCTATATACTAGTATTCGTATGATAATCTGTATATCAAATTTGATTTCAGTATGTGCAACATTTGTGAAGAAAATGAACGGAAACTTGGTGTACGGACACACTTACCGACCAGCCGACCGAAAGACAGCAGGAAAGCAATTTGTCCTCCATTCTTCGAAGAGGGGCATAAAAATGAATACATGTACACTGTATAATAAATAAAATATAAATTGATAGAATAATAAGAAATTTTTATATTTCAAAAAAAAAAAAAAAAAAAAAATTGCACACATCGTGTACATGTACATTTAAAATGAAGTTTTACACATATAAATCATTTTTCGGCTAACTTAAAAAAAATAGCGAGACACATCGCTTATGAACGTGGACTTAATAAAAATGTTTTATTACGCACAGTGTGATCAAGATGTAATTAGCGGTGTATATGGTCACATTAATATCATAATATATATATCATATAGAGTGTTTAGTAATACTATGTTAACGAATCGTTCCTGGTAGATCACGCCTAATAGAAGGTAAATCACGCAATAGGGGTTCCCTTTTTGCGTAACTGGCTCGTTAAGTTTTCTGGAAACAGTTTGAAATGGTTGCAACTGGATTTTAAGAAAGATATCGCAAGGTAAGTGGTCTGAACATTTGAAGTTAGTTTGGGTAAAACAAATTCAAAGGAATTATAAATCATAGTTATTCATCAAATTTTAATTGAAGATATCGTCAAAATTTGTCATTATTAAAAAAAAAAGTTTATAACGTGTTTTGAAATCTCATTTTCACGCCTTCATACTAAATGCAAAACATGATTGTATGCATGCGTACTAGGAAATATTCTACATATGAATTTAAAAAAATACATACGAAACTGAAAATTTTAATTATATTGCAATATCTTATTATTTCAGATGACAAAGTTAATTTGTGTAGTCCTCCTTATGTCTTTGTACGCCGTCTGCTCTGCGTACTATGGGGTACAATCCCCCTACTCCTTCGGTGCTGCCCCAGCGAGTTTTACCCCCTATGGACAATCCTTTGGGGGACTTCCACCCTCAATTGCTCAGATGCAAGTTGATACATTATACGAGGAAGAGGACCCATTCCAAGGAATTACACCGTTTTTTGTCTTATGTATGTAGAACAGAAATTGAACAAAACTCCTAAAATACTTTACTACAGTAGGATATGTCAGTTGAAGTATTTATTTTTTCTGTGCATAGTGAATTCATTAATTATTTTTATTGACTACATATTTTTTTACATCAAAAGAAGAAAAAAATGAAAAATAATTAAATGAGCAAATGTTTCACCTTTTGCAGTGCTTCTCAGTTTCTTGACAGGCTTGATTCAGGGGAACTAACAAATCAAAAGTAAGTCTCTGTCTCTTTCTCCGTTTTCGTAAGTCGTTATTCATAAGTTGAAAAATACATCTGACTGCCGTCATGAGAAAAGGGCCCTTATCTTTTGACGTCACAATGCTCAGAAAACGACGTCAAAGTCGCGGTATTGTAAACACGGAAGTAATTTTTGTTGACCGCATTTTGTAAACAAAAAATAAAATTGATTTTCAAAGTGTAACAAAAATTTGAAACTTGATGCGGACATTTTTTAAAAGGAATATGATATTATTACAATTTAGTACGTAAATTTATTGATGATTTTGTTTATGTATTTAATTTGATGTTGATATACGGAACATTGGACATGCACATTGCTAGCTCTGAAGCAGCGATTAAAACGATGTCTATGCATGACTAAATTAAAGATGCTGCACATTTGTTTTCTGGGCAATTTACAAATGCTTAAATTTGAATTCATGTTAAGAAGTCTAAATATTAAAAGGTATATTCCATATACTTTTATATTTTTTTTTTCAGAGAGAGAGAGAGAGAGACGAGCGAATGAGAGGTCTTTGCACATATAGTAATTACCGTTCTTATAAGCGCTACTTTTTTTCCCCTGAAAATATATACCATAATTTAAAACGTAAAGAGTGTATTTAGCCATTTTAATTTTAATCCATAGTTAATCATACTGATGTACCCCGATAACAGCCTTCGGTGAACTGTTGATTAAAAAGGGAAGGGGTAAGAAGAACAGCCAAAAAAATATCTTCGAATAAAAAGACCATTTAAAGTTAAAGCTGAGAAACATAGTCCCTCTTTGATTGAATAAAGATACTGGTAAAATGGGAGATCCAAACCTTCTACATCAATTAACAATAAATATTTTTTACTATATTAACAGTATTAGAATATGCTAAGGAAAAAAATACGGATGATGGGGATGCCACGAAAATTTTGCTAAAATAATTTTTGTTTCAAAAACCAATTTAGAATGATCAAATAAATACATTCAAAAGAATTGTGTGGTAGAAATTACTATTGTTTCAAATTTCGGATATTATTCCGATAAAATGAATGAATGAATGAAAGCCCCCTGGAACCTATATTGCAATATATATTTTATAAGAAATTAAATACAGCTATTTTACACTTTTCCCAAAAGCATTATGCCCAATGTTGAAGAAATTAACAATATTACATCAACAGTGATATCATGAATGAGGATATCTATAAACCAAAAGAAATTAAAAAAACTATAGATTAAGCAAAAAAGACGTACGTATTTCTGGATAATATCAGATATATGGCTTCATCTCTTAAGAATATATATTCACTGAAAAGAGCAAAAAGTGTGTGACAAATTGTTATGGGTGTAATTTCCAAAAGTTATGAAAATGTTCCTAATCTTTAAAAACTTTGATGAGCGTGAAATATATATCATTGCCTATTGAATTCATGATATGGAATAAATAAGTCACATTTTGCGCTGAAATCTTCAACTCTGATACATGTATCAAAATACCCCGCATATCTCGACATTAATTTCTTGAAGTTCCGTTGAAAACCACATAAGACTTTATATCATAATCCTAACATGACTCTACGGAAAGTGTAATTAATAAACAAATACATTTTTTTTCATTTAAAGAAAATATTGGTCATTACAGTCGCGTGCAAGTAGCAACGGGGGTAGGGATTTACATTGAAAGTTCTGTCTCCCACATGCAACCACACACACACATACACACATTTTGTTGCAGTATAGTCAAATTCATGCACTATAGGGCAAAAGAATAATGCAATGAATTATGTAACTGAAAGAAGACTGAACCTACCCCCCCCCCCTCCCCAACGGCGAAATATGATTCGAGTTTCGATATCCCCCTTTTTGGTTGATTTTTTAAAGTTAAATTTATTTTTTTCTGTTTGAACCCCCCCCCCCCCTCTTTTTCAAACGAGTTGTGCGGGGACAGGCAAAGGTACGAGTCAAATGGTTTTTTTGGGTATGTTTGGTTTGTTCTGAAGTAATGACTGGGGAAAAATTGGTTTGCCTAAATATTTTCAACGAAAGAGAGTCAAATTATAGCGGTATATTATTATTTAAAGCATTAACGTATGTTGGACGTACGAGGGTTGATCCAAAAGTTCGTGGAATTTCTTCGTAAAATTTTATAGTGATTTGATAAAAGCAAACAACAGGCATATTCATAATATAGAGTCATAATGCAACAATATTGGAAAATTTCATCACTTTCAAATAACCAATAAGGTCACACGAGCTTTCTGAAAATGGAATGTTGTGAAACCCGGGGAAGACTTCGACGTAACGTCAAGTTATATATGCCACGTCGCGTTATAGAAGCATCTACCTCTAATGTCAAATTTGACTACGTAGTTCTACAAAATGCCGCCCCTTTCTCCATTTTTTTTCTCAAGAAAAGCATAATTATCCTCTTGTACCAACTTATCTTCATTTTTCACTCATATTTCAAAATACTACCCATCTCTCCATATGATGTTCCAATTTCAGTAGCAATGTCAAGGACAGCACGGCAGCCGACAACGTCCATTAACGCTTTAAATTTGTCTAGGGGGATACACACTTAAAACAGAGCCTCCAAAAAGTGGACTATGCCTTTAATCAACGTCCATGGAAGTTCCATTTTTCCTAAATTTCTTATGCCACTAGGAAACCAGTAGCTAAATGCATTTTTCCAAAGCCTATGTCAATAATATACGCGTTTCAGATAGAGTGATCCCGGGATTTTTACAAAACGTATGACTTGACTGAAATTTGACGTAGTCTAACAACTTAAAGATGAACAATAAATCATCGACTAATAAACTAAATATCCAGTAAATTCAATAAAACTCTTACACAAAGGTTTATGAAAGATCAAGCAATCGTAATAATGACATGATTTTCGTTTTATATAGCACATAGGGCGGTTTAATTCTCATTTCACGTATTAAGAATTAAAATGATAATAAACACGTTAATGTCTCCTCCGCATTTCAAAACAACCGTTTCTATGGTAACTGCCATAGAGTTACTGTCAAAGATATTTAAAATGTTTTTCAATCTAAAATATTCATCAAGTGTCTATATTTTCATTTGTAATTTTCAACCAATTCCACTTAAAAATAAAAAAAAAATTATGAAGAAATTCCACGAACTTTTGGATCAACCCTCGTAATTGTTCATTATTGGATAAGACAATCGCATCGAAATGTGAAAGGTTTATAAGGTATCAAGTTAATAAGCCATTATCACGGAGGAAAATAAATTATAAATGACTGTTCGTGGCGTACAAAAATTGTTTTGCTTGTCAAAGAAAATTTGGTGGTTGATAGTGCCCACAACTGAAAAAAAATACCCCCCCCCCCAAAACTGAAATAGCTTCCTAAGGGCCTGCCGTTCTTGCATAAAAATGCAGTGGACCTTCAGATATTCGAACGCCAGATATCTGGATGCTTTAGTATCCGGCCAATTTTTCATCGGTACGAAAGTTTTTAACGTTATTTTGTCTTGTTTAGCTGATAATTCCGATATCCTGACGATTCACATATCCGGACAAATTGCCTAGGAACCAAAGCGTCCGGATAAATGAGGCTCCACTACCAGTATTCATTCAGTTTCAGTTTCAAATAGATTTCGTCAAAATTTTAAAGGAACTGTAATTTTCTACAGAAAAGTCAAGCATCTTTTAGTGTACATAAAATAAAAATATACAAGAACAGCACAATTCCTATCTCTTTGATTAAATTATACAATATTATACATAAACATTTTTTTTGAGATCATAGTAGCTAGCTGCGGTCCTTGTAAGAAATATACAAAAGTTGTGTTCAAGTGAAACAGGATACAGGTGCCACAAAATAAAAAAAGGGGGGGGGGTTAATGTGCAGAAATATTTGTGACATAATTTGATTGTGATTTACTTTTTTAAAAAATTAGAAACTAAACGGCGGTTTCAATTTGAGGTATAAATTCAGAGAAAGTTTCAGTTTGAGGTACGTTATATAAATAATTGATTTGTCCTTTATTTGCCTATTTACTACGTGTCTACTCCATTACTAAGACAGGCGACGAAAATGAATTGTATATACAATGGAAACCTAGAGCTTTAAACATTTTTAATAAAATGTTCAAAAACGTAAAATTTTTAAAATCCGCTTGCATGGAAGAAGGGGAACGTATATTTTTTTTATGAATGTTTATAAAAGGAATAAACTTTTTTAAAAACAAGGTTACATATCTTAGCATATCTGATCTTATTTCTCGTTTGAATTTTTCGGTGATACAGAAAATACATGATTTTTTTATCGTAACAGTTACAGGGAATAAATTTACTTGCGTGTGTTTTGGTGAGGTGAGTGAATGCTGTCTCATAAGATTTTTTTTTTAAATCGGGATCGATGTGCTTTTTGGCGAGGGGTGTCCCTTTTTGCGCGCGGCGTCCTTCTGCATCGGATTCTCTCTCTCTCTATATACATTGTATATATACATGTACATAATTCTTTTAATCTTAAAAGTGCTTTATATATTCTATAGATTGAATTCGATTATTTTATATACAAAGAATAGTTTGTATTGATTTAAACAAATATTATTTCCCTTCTGATTATGCTATAAACCGTTCCTAGATTCTGTTTAGACACCCCCCTTTCTTTTAAGCAATTACTTGATCTGCTCTGAAATTAGCATGAAAATAGCAATAACATACGAAATCCCTTTGGAATAGGTACATACTAGTCGCTTGGAAGAAAAAAATTGAATACTTTCTCATGTTTTTAATTCTGAAAACGATTGAAGTTATTCAAATAACATGTAATTTTAAGATTTTTTGAAAATTAAATAAGACGCAGTCGACGTCATTACGTTACGTGAGTAACGTGAAAGTTATTTTTGGAGTGCCTCACAAAAATGCTCATAAAGTACCGAAAAAGTGAGATATTTTCAAAATTTATGTATATTTGCATTCAGAAAGAGTCCGGCTATCAAAATTTACCAAAAAGTCAATTTGTGAAAATTTGACCTTAAGGGCCCTTTTCTCATGACGGCAGTCATATAGTTTTAACGTAGCTAAACTTTTACTTTCTTTTACAGGGAAAGAAGAAATAGATCCAAGAAATGCATTAGATGAGTTGCTGATCTAGGATAGATTAAACTGTAAAAAATAATGATCTTATTGTCATTACAATGTATGTGTTTTTATAAATCTTATAATATTGAAACAAGTAGAAAAATTTCTTTTTTTTATCGGCATAAAATCGAACGGATTTTCATGATCTAATATGATTTGGCTCCTAGGTTGGACCTGGATGATCTAATATGATTTGGCTCCTAGGTTGGACCTGGATCTAGGAATGTCCAGATCTACTTTGGAATTTTCAGAATTATCAAACTTCTTTGTGAAACAAGACATAAGAGGTCAACGAGCCATTTCTCTCCTGAACACTTAATTTGGCTAGGAAAAAGCAGAAATAAGTCTTTAAAATTTTTAAAGATTTTCCCTATGTATTCCTTTGTAAAACATGGATCGCTCTTTGTGGTCTCATCCTTACCGGGTGGAGGGGGGGGGGGTGTCTCGATTTGAAGGTTTTATGTTTCCTGACCCCGTGATTCTTGAGAGTTTTCTTTTTAAGAGATGCCATAAATTGTAATTATCTCCCTTGGAAGATGGTGTGGCGTTTAATTTGATCAAATTTAAATTCCCTTTACCCAAGGCTACTTTGAGGCAAATTTGGTTAAAATTGATCCAGTGGTTTGATCTGGAATAGGAGATGAAATTGTTGTAAAAACCACTTTTCGGTGTCAAAAATTTCTACAGAGCCCGTGTTTCCTTGGGTATGAAGGCTCAAGTGAGCTTTTCTGATAAAATTTCGTCAGGTTGTTTTCTTGATGTTGTAGTCATCTTTGCTGTTATTGCCTACATAAAAAAAAACTTCTTTTTTTTTTTACCTTTTGATCTCTTACTCAGAGAAAAAAAAAGAACAAAAACAAAGTTAGAATTTTTTTTGTAAAGGCTCAAAGAAAACCATTAAAGAAAACAAGAGGCCCATGGGCCTTATAGATCACCTGAGCATCATGCAACAACTTTCCAGTGATTAAATTTGGTTCATGTTTTAAGCTAGATATACTATGGCATTAACAATTTTGAAAGAGGCACCATTGCTCATCATAACTATACACTTAGCAATTGCATAATTTGGTTACTTAATACCCACAGGCAGGGTAGGGGAACAAAAATGCATTTCAACTAATTAGTAATATTCAGCAATAATCAGTAGTCCCCATAACACACATGAACCCCTGACCCAAGGTCGACTCATTGCACAATTTTGAAAATTCATCCTTGCAAATCCCAAATGTTTGATTAATACCAAGGAGCAGATTTCAAACAATTAATTCATTTTCAGTATATAAGTAGAGCCCCCCTCCCCTCCTTTATGTTACCCCTGACCCTGCGGCCTTGAAATTCACAATACTGGAAAAAAAGGCCCTTGCTCATCATAACTAATAACTATAAAGGTAGTTCATCTGCACCCAGGAGCCGAGAAGAAGATTTTCAAAGGATTAATGCATTTTCACTATATAATCAATAGAGCCCCGCCCTAACACCAGAACCCCTGACCCTGGGGCAATAAAATTCAAAATTTTGGTAGAGACACTCTTGCTTATCATAACTATGTACTTACTTAGTTTAATTAATACCCAGGAGCAGAGAAGATTTTCAAATAATTAATGTATTTTCACTATATAATCAATAGAGCCCTGCCCTAACATCAGAACCCTTGACCCTGGGGCCATAAAATTCACAATTTTGGAAGAGGCGCTCTTGCTCATCACGACTCTGTACTTCGTTAGTGGATTTAATACCCAGGAGCAGAGAAGAAAACTTTCAAAGAATTAATGCATTTTCACTATATAATATATATAGCCCTGCACTTGCACTAGAACCCCTGACCCTGGTGCCATGAATTTCACAATTTTGGTAGAAGTATTCTTGCTCATCATACACGTAACTATGCACTTATTTAGTTTATTAAATACCTAGAAGCAGAGAAGAAGGTTTTCAAAGAAATAATGCATTTTCACTACATGTATATAATCTATATACATGTAGCCCTGCCCTAGCACTAGAACCCCTGACCCTGGGGCCATGAGTTTCACAATTTTGGTAGAGGACTCAATGCTCATTACATTCATGCCAACAGTTTGACTGCTTGATGTCCAGGAGTAAAGAAGATTTTTTAAAATTTCATAAATTTTACTGGTTTTGGCCCCACTTCTCAGGCCCCGGGGGGGGGGGGGGACCATGAAATTCACAATTTTTGTTTCCCTTCATCCATAGATACTTTGTGCCAAAATTGGTTGAAATTGATTGAGCGATTACAGAGAAGAAGCTGAAAATGTTCATATGTTAACACACGATGGACAACGGACAACGACGGATAGCAATAGTAACCTCAGGTGACCTAAAAAGTTATAACAAGGAAAACAATACAGTACTTTGACCATATATAAAATTAAAAAAGAGACTCAAAATATATGCCAATGTCAGAATCATTTATTCACATTTTGTGAAAAAGCAACAAATATACACTGTACAAAGTACATCATTCATAATATCAAGTAGTAACATACAATCAACATGTGCCTTTCTTACAAATGTACATACATATGATCATGGTAATAATTTTGAAATTGTTATCACTCACTTCAAATTACTAGTACTTAGTATGTCTTCATACATATATCATATACTTCTACAAGTCATTGGGCCTAATAATTTTAAATCTATAATACTGTTCTGCTTCCAGCAATTATACAATGTACATATACATGTAATAGATGATAAGTTATTGATAACCATGCACTCTAATTCTAAAATTAGATCCTTTGATTCATGACAAGATGTGCACTTACATGTACATATACATTGTATGAAAACTAACAGATCTGGTGATTTACTTTCATGTGAACATTTTTATAAACTTTCAGCTCAAAGATACCAGAAACTAAGATTTCATCTTAGTTGTTTTGAAAATACCTCGATTATTGGAACAAACAGCTAAATTTAGAAAAATTAATACTACAAAGCGAACATCTCACAATTTTCAGGACTCTGTAGACATTTCAATTCTATACACAGAAGTAACAAGATATTTATATTGGGATCAGATCTAGAGTGAGACCCACAGAAAAAAGGAAGATGTTAGAAATTATCAAACATAAAGCACTTAAAATAGCTGATAGGCACATGGTTGAGATTGTACTAGGTTTGTACTTCATAAAACCTCACTGTCTTTTAGACCACTACAATCTTTAATACTAATAATAACTCATCAATATATGTAAAAAAAAAAAAAAAAAGAAGAAGAAAAGAAAAAATCAATAAGAGACATATTTAAGCATCTTTGTGCAGGTATATATAATTTTTAAACGTACCATAGTATGAAAGAACTCCTATTAGCTTGCTCAGGCAAAAATACTGTAAACACTTTACAGCATGACTGATATATTCTGAAGGACTTGTATGAAAGTTGTAAAAATGCATGGAAACAAAAATATTACAGTTGATGATAAAAAAAAATATCCAATCTACAGAATGGATGTGCATGTAAAATGAAATGTATCCTTCAATGAAAAAAAGAAGAGGCTGCCAAAATAGAAAAAAAGGAAACTGATAAAAAAAAAATGCCCTAGGTAAGAACTAAAAGTCTGTAGTTAATGAAAGCTGCAGAAAAGAAAGAGAAAAAAAAAGACATCATCTTACAAAAATATCAATGATTACAATAACAGTGAACCGAGATTTGGAACAGTAATGGTTTATCACTTGTTGGCCTGGAATGCAGTGCTCTGAAGATATATACGCTTTAACAAGATTTCCATTCAAACACTCATTCACACCTTGATTGGTTCTCACACATGACTGGTTTCTAGTCTCTGACTAGTCAACAGGCTCTGTGTTGTAACAATGCACCAAAGGGATGAACAACTAGATTTGTCTTCATTCCAGAACTGGAAAGCAGAATAAAAACTCGGAATTTGTTGGCTTTGGAATACATTTCAAAAACAAGACCAGAGGCCCACAGGCCTTATAGGTCACCTGAGTATCGTGTAACAACTTTCAAACAAATAACTTTGGTTCGTGTTTTAAACGAGGCAATGAAATTTACAATTCATGATTTTGAAAGAGGCACCATTACTTATCATAATTATAAACTTAGCATGCTTACTCTAATAATTAATACCCAGAGATTGATCAGAGTAACAAAGAGAAAATGCACTTCCACTTCATAACCAGTTTTGCACCTCACCCCAAAGGAATCACGGACCCTGGGGCCATATATTTCAAAATTTTGCAAATTTTATCATAAAATGGTTGATTAATACCAAAGAGCAGATTTCAAAACATTAATTTTTTTCAGACTATGTAACCCCTCCCCCCGCCCCAACCCAGAGATGGGGAGGGGGACATTAAAAATAACGATTTTTCTGGATGCACCTTTCTTCATCATAAATATATATACTTGGATCATTGGCATAAAACCCAGGAACAAAGGAAAAGATTTTCAAAGAATTAATGTATTTTCACTATAAAATCTAAATAGCCTCTCCCTAGCACTAGAACCCCTGATCCTGGGGCCATAAAATTCAAAATTTTGGAAGAGGCACTCTTTCTCATCATAACTATGTGCTTAGTTAGTTAATTTAATACCCAGAAGCAGAGAAGAAGATTTTCAAAAAATAATTGCATTTTCACTATATAATCAATAGAGTCCCACCCTAACACCAGAACCCCTGACCCTGGGGTCATAAAATTACAATATTGGAAGAGGCACTCTTGCTCATCATAACTATGTACTTAGTTAGTTCATTTAATACCCAGAAGCAAAGAAGAAGATTTTCAAAGAATAAATGCATTTTCACTATATATTCAATAGCGCCCCGCCCTAACACCAGAACCCCTGGCCCTGGGGCCATAAAATTCACAATTTTAGAAGAGGCACTCTTGCTCATCATAACTATGTACTTAATTAGTTTATTTAATACCCAGGAGCAGAGAAAAAGACTTTCAAAGAAATAATGCATTTTCACTATATAATCTATATAGCCCCTCCCTAGCACTAGAACCCCTGACCCTGGGGTCATAAAATTCACAATTTCGAAAGAGCTACTCTTGCTCATCATAACTATGTGCTTAGTTAGTTAATTTAATACCCAGAAGCGGAGAAGAAGATTTTCAAAGAATAAATGCATTTTCACTATATATTCAATAGCGCCCCGCCCTAACACCAGAACCCATGACCCTGGGGCCATAAAATTCACAATTTTGGAAGAGGCACTCTTGCTCATCATAACTTTTTACTTAGTTAGTTTATTTAATACCCAGGAGCAGAGAAGAAGATTTTTAAAGAAATAATGCATTTTCACTATATAATCTATATAGCCCTGCCCTAGCACTACAACCCCTGACCCTGGGGCCATGAATTTCACAATTTTTGTAGAGAACTCAATGCTCAATACATTCATGCCAACAGTTTGCCTGCTTGATGTATGGAGTAAAGAAGAAGATTTTTAAAGATTGCAATAATTTTAGTGGTTTTGGCCCCATCCCCAGGCCCCAGGGGGGCAGGGACCATGAAATTCACAATTTATGTTCCCCTTCATGCATAGATGCTGTATACCAAATTTGGTTGAAATTGGTTCATTGGTTTCAGAGAAGAAGCTGAAAATGTTCAAATGTTTACACACGACGTACAACGAACGACAGACGATGACGGACGAAAACAGATAGCAATAGGTCACCTGAGTTACTCAGGTGACCTAAAAACACTAAAGAAGTGCTTACCACGAAAAATGGCAATTATTCCTGCAGATCATATATGTGGTTTCTCAGAATTTTCATCATTCCAAATGTTTTCACCCTCTTTTTCTCTGCAAATTTGTAAATAAAAAGGACCTATATATTTCAGTTCAAATTTCAAAACATTCATAGATATTTTAACAAGAAATAAATGTAACTCAAGCTTGCTGACAAAATACTCACTGAACACATTGAATAGCTGATCATCACACAGTAAAAACTGCTTATTCTTGGGGTCCTTAAAAAGTAGAATATTTCAAATCATTCTTAATCTATATGCCTGTTAAGATAACTTCATTCATACAGAGTCCATTGAATGAAAAGATTATTTCATCCATACTGAATAAAATCACATAGCTTAAAACACAACAGAAAAAGATTTCCATCAACTATTTAAGTTAGTTTCGAATATCAATATCTATCAAATGATGTGACAAATATCTATTGATAAAAAGCATTGCTCCATAAAGGTCCCATTTATTAGTACCTGTAAATTCCGTTCTTTGATAATGGCCCACATTTTTTTCACAACCTCACTTCTTGCCATCTGGAAAAATAAAAAATAATATTAATACATGTAGAATACAAACGTACCATCAAAAGCATACATATTGTAAAGAAAAACCCAAAAGCTTCTCTCCATGAATATTTAATGCTATAAAAAGAGCATCTGAAGCAATGCTACACTAATACTGCTTTTCTTTGATACTTAGTTTCATACTGTATGCACATTTAGCCCAGATAAGACTTATACAAAAGTACACGAGAATAGAATCAATAGATCTGCTAAAAAAAATTTAATCTGACAATGCTTATGGAAAGTATTGGTAAGATACATGTATATTCAGCATCCAAAGCATAGTTTTCATTCCTAGATTCATTTCTGAAAGTTTGGAGTATGTATCATGTTAAATTTGTTGTGTATGGGGAAAATCAGAAAAATAATAGACTTTGGGACATTAAGTTTTAAGAAACAGTTCATCTTACCTTGTCAGCACCCACAACTTCTGCCAGGGCAGGAGACAAGGAACAGGGCTTGCTGTATACAGACTTCTCTGAAAGATATTAGTAAATTGATTTCTCTTACCTATTCATTTTACATTACTCTTCCTAATTTTAGTGTGTTTATTTCACTATTAAACCCTAGCTTTAGTCTCTAATCTATTTAACTCAGTCATACAAAGGAAGAGCAAACTGACAGCATAATCCAGTGAAACTTTGGCTGTTTCAACCCACACTTTGTCTTAAAGACATTGGCTGGGTTTCTGAGACTGCTGAAAAGGGATTACAGTATCAATCATTGCCCCCTCCTGATTTATTCTTTAATTATTATTTTTTCTTTTTAGATAACATACACTTCGAAAAGACAATGTATAAGGATGGTGAATAGTTGCCAACTCACCCGATTTCGTCAGGTCACACCCGATTTTTCAACCCATAACCCGATTATTTTTTATGACCCAGCGGGTAACTGGAAAGGGTTTCTTTATTGTAAATCATTTTAACTTCCAGTTACAACCCAAGCTTAGATCTGAAGATGAACATTTGGATTAATTATCAGTGCAGGTGTAAACAATTAACTGGGTGTTGTTTTGACAAATCAATGTTTGAAGTCAATTAAATGGCTTCCGAAGAAATAGATCATTATCAGGGCCAACAGGAACAAACTGAAAAAAACATTTTAAACTCAAAAAAAGAGGAACTGTTTTTGTGCATATCAAGGAATCCTTTTCATTCTAGATAAAATAAAGTGATCCAGTGTAGGCCTAACTTCACATTTAAAACATATTGCATTTTGAGAGAAAAAATAATATATTGAACTTTTTTTTAAGAAACTGAAAAGGCGTTTTTAAAAAAAATGCACACTTACTTCAGGTCATTACTGAAATATCATTATATGAAACCTTCAATTCTCATTTTTAACATGTAAATTAAATCAAATTATGTATGAATTTTTTGTCATAGTAGATTAAATCCTTTTTCAATAAAAGAATTCTTAATACACAAATACTTTGTATATATATATATGTATAAAATTTAATCATGGTAAATATGTCATGAATGTCGTTACGCGTTATGACCAGATTTTTTACTTTCCAAATCTGGTCATGACCAGATATTTACATGCTGGAGGTTGGCAAGTATGATGGTGGAGAGAGAGAGGGGGGGGGGGGGTCTCTGGGTGGGACCTCCATCCTGTAATTACAATAGCTTCTAAAAGGTACTATTAAAGTTTACATCTGTACTTTTAAGCAACAAACTCTGAAGATGAACATTTGATTCCGTTGATTGATTAAACAATAAAATGTACGAAAAATTGTGTTTAACAAGAAATTATGAAACCCCAGTACAAGGAAAAAAATCATTTTAAACTCACTCTGTTTTTTCTCTTCAGGATCCTTTTCTTTCTTTTTCCTTGGTTTCTTCTTCATTTTGAAAAATAAAATATATTCTTTTTTTAAAATATTTTTTCTTTTACAAACATAACAGTTACAGTATAAATACTTCATTTTAAGTTTACAACAGGACTACAAAAGATTTCAAGATTAGTAAAATATTACTGGTTTCTTAGCGACTGCTCGGGATGGTCGTCGAGACGTGTTTTCTTCCTCCTGTAATCGACGAGCAATGTCCTCATCATCTTCACCTCCATCCTGTAATTACAAGAAAATTCTACAGTACTATTAAAGTTTACACTGTACTTTTAACCATACCATTTCGGTCCTTTTACGCATGAAAATAATAATGCCAGTTTTATCTTGTCCGATGCACAGCAAGTTAACAAGATATTGCTGTCCTTCTGAATTAGCCCTCTTCCTATAAGGATGAAAGGGGTAAAATCAAACCAGGGTGAAAATTTTCCTTAATGAGTACTTGAACATTCAACAATATGCTGTATCAGATAAACTACCTCACTCTCTTGCACATTAAATTATTCCATAATTTTAAGAAAGTGCTTGTACATGTACATGTAAAGCCAGGCGGTAAATCATCAACAAACAAAGTATACATATTCATAATATTGTATATTGTAACAGTCAATTGTTCCAGCAAGTTAGAAGATTAGTTTAATCCCTTAGCCTTATCCTTAGACCATTAAATGTATCCAAATACACAGCTACTTGCATAATTAATGGTTATATGCATGCTTCAAATAACAATGACAATTTTCATGCTTTATATTTTCATCAATACTTGCAGGGATCACTTTGGGCTGCGCCTTTGCGCCATTGGCGCTCAATATTTGTAAATGGCGCACTAAAAAATTAGAAAGGGGTCAGTCTGGCGCATGTCTTACAGATATGGCGCTATAAGATGCAAAATTGTGGGTCGAAACTCTTATATTGGTGCATTTTAGGACCGTTTTCAAGCTGACCAATTGTATTCATGACGTATCTGAGCATACTGTTACTCGTTCAATCAGACTCTGTAGCTGCGTATGTTCTTTACACCAGGAAAGCGTCTGATTGATCAAGACTAAAATCGGAATTGTACATGGAATATTTCCTTCGTTAAGATTACACTACTAGAATTTTTTTTTACCGAATACTGAGTCAATTATATTTATTAAAATTATATGTAATGATTTAAATAATAAACACTTGAAAGTAATACTCCACTATGTAATATGTTCTTATATTTCTTAAAACTTTGATTATTTATTTCGAAACAAAACAAGTACAAGTTACTCATTGTGTATCCAGACACTTGCCCGAAATGCCCTCATACCCCCGGCGGATGACCCATGGATTTTAATGTTGATGGGCCATTGGCCCATTGGCCCATCAACATTAAAATCCAGAGTGATCCCTGTACTTGTAACATAAATATTGATTACATCAAGACATACTTATTTACTTGTGAAACCTCTTTATAGCAAGTTTATGCTACCATATAATTTTTGATTTGAACATATTTTATTGTATATACTTTACAATTGGGATTGGGCAAAAGTTCTAAAAACTTAATATCCCCTTTCCCTACATATGCATTATACCAAGCATATTTACACACATGGGTTTCAGTTTAAAATGAATTAACACAGAAAAACATTAAATATAATAATAATCATTTTATCTAATAGAAAAATAATACTGTTAATGAATACAACAAATTATATGTATTACGAAGCATTCTACAAAGACTGTTACTTCTACATGTATACATGTACATACCCCAGAACCAGCCGATGATTCGGAGTCTCTCTTCTTCTTTTCTGGTTTGGCCTTCTTTGCTGGGGGTTCATCATCTGACTGTGATTGAAATGGAATTCCATTTATTCATTAAGTTCACAATACATGTATATTTAAAAGCAGGATTAAATGAAAAATCACTTCTCTATAAGCATCAATTCATTAAAAATGTACTATAAGTGTCTTTACTATAAGCATGTTTTATTATACATGTATTTAACAAACATCTGGATGGTTAACTTGATCTGATCCTAATTATAATAAATGATGTACACATAATACCAGATTGTCATCTGATGATTCATGAGCTCCATTACTCTTCTTTTCTGCAGCATTATCATCGCTTTCCTCTGCGTCAGACCCTGCCTCTGTCATCTCTTTCACTATTGCCATTGTGGCGGCATCCACTTCTTTCTTTCTGTATAAAGAAAATTACCCAGTTTATGTAAATTAATTCTTTAAAAAACATCAAAGGTCTTATTTTTCATGAATCATCAGGCATGAGATCTTGAGGCATCACTACATCATAGACAATGATGACAGAAATTAGCAGGGATATTACATGTACATACAATATTATGTAGCCTAACGATTTGGGCCAAAGATATTGGCCTGGGTAGCTCGTACGGATGGGTATCGCTAAAAATTTCTTATCGTGATATATCACGATTTTTCCAAAAATATCATATTTTTATGAGCAATTTTTACAATGATTTTAAATGAATAGTCATTATTTTTCTTTAAAATATGCTAAAAAATCGAAATTTCACCTTTTTTTTTTTTTAATTTTAATGTAAATAAAATGAATCTGTTTACCTGTCAGTGTTTTAAACATATAATTTAAATAATATTAAAAGGGGACATGACTGACATGTAATCACCAATTCAAACTTTTACCAGATTCTTTTCTTACACATATATCATTTGATTTTTTCCATAATTATGCAAATTTTTGCTAAGGCACTAAGGAAGGATGAATTTTACTGACACCCCCCCCCCCCCCCCCATTTTACATTTGAACAATTCATGTGCAGAAAAGAATACTACAAACCTGTCTGTGAAATCAGCATTGAACTTCTGTTCCAATGACCTTCGAACTTTTTTCGCTGATAAGGATGAAAGATCATTTCCCTTGACAATTTCTGTTGAAAAACAAAACAACACATACCTGCAGCACGTTGCACAAAACAATAAAAACGTAAACACACCGAAGAAACATAATGGTTCCAATAAATATGGCTTCTTCGAGATAAATATTAGCAAGCGCGAGCTTTACATTTTATTCATTATGTATTTTACGTAAAATATTTCTCACAAAACAATGCTAAGTACCTCTTATTGCCTTTAACAATTCGGACTTGCTTATGTTTGCCATTTTTCATGTGGGCCATTTACTTGTAAGGGAATGCACTCTAAAATTTACTATGCACCGAAGCTGAAGTTACGTCCCGCAACAGGAAACCGGATAAAGTTGGAAAAATTTTATTACTTCGATTTTCCAAAATAAATAAATAAAAGCATAAAATAAAAAGATAAACAGTCCAAAATGAAAATGAAAAATAATTAGAATTATAAAATAAATAAATAAATTCGTAAGTAAAACACAAACGTGCATACACATACAAATACAAAAGATTTCGTTGAAAAAAATTTAAATTGAAAATAATAATAATAAAACCGAAGAATTCATCGGAAAGAAAGAGACTGAGAAATAATAATAAAGATTTTAGCAGATAGTTTTGAAATAGAATTGACAAGAATTTTTAAAATGATTTAATCAACTACTTTAAATATTTAAAAGAAAAAAAATCTCAAATGAAACTGTACATCTATTTTTATTTTCTCTTGGAATCCAACATGTTGATACGTATTTAAGGAATGACTCTAATTCTTGGCCAGATTATCGAGTATAATATGGTTTGGGTCAGTTTACGCTTTATAATCCGCGAAGCGGATTATAAAAAAGCGTAAACTGACCCAAACCATACTCGATAATCTGGCCAAGAATTAGAGTCATTCCTTATAATTTATTTTAAAATAATTAAACAACTGGGGATGTAAAATTGTGTTGTTTTTATTAGTTCAAATTTACCGCGCAATAATACAACCGTAGTAACGGAAGTGATGGGAAAAAGGTCTGATACATAGATGGAATGATGCTTGTTTACATGAGGTAAGATTGTTTGAAGTTAAAGGTACATTCATTAAATCTGGAATTTTTCATGAATCCCAAGGACAAATGTTGATAATAAGATATTATACAAAATGTTATGAGAGACAAGAATATTAAATTATAAAGAAATAAATGAAGTAAAATAAATAAATAAATCAATTTGTAATTAATTAATCAAAAGTTAATAAATAAATCCCACATTTGTGCCGAAGAATTATTAAATTTCCCCTGTCCGATTTAAAAAAAAAAAAAAAAAATCCTTTTTAAAAGAGAAATTGTCGCAAACCACATCATAGTTTTGAGTCCACAAGCTCCCTCAGATGATGATAGAGATAAACATCGAAGTGAATTTTCACCCAAAATTAAAATTTAAAAACTAGGTTCTCTAAGTGATCTGTTGGTCGAACAGTATTTTTTTTTGTGAAAAAAGTTATCTCGCTTTACACAAGGCATTTGCATTTCAGAAGAAAGGAACTTTATAAGACTAATTTTCTCTTAGACATATATTAAGCTTTTTGATAAATCCAAGACATTAATGCCGAGTAAGTCACGTGGGCTGAATGTAAGCGTGGAAACCACAGAAAAGATGGTTGAATAAATAAAAAAGGAATGTAAATTCATTAATTGAATGTTACAGGATCATGTGCCCCCCCCCCTTTAAAAAATAAGAAACCTCGAGAAACGTCAATTCATATAATTAATATAGTGATCGTTTCTGAATGATGATGGATGGTATCACCCCTTTCCCTCTATCTCTCAGGAAAAAAAAGAATGTTTTTTTTTTGTTTGTTTGTTTTTTTTTTGCAATTCAGTACAATTGCTTGATTAATATTTTCAGTTCAGTGCATGGGGTTATAACGACTTCAGCTGCTCGTGCGCATACTGTATATTATACATCCACTGACTTAAGCTATGGATGGTTTAATGTATATGTACATGTACTTTTCTACCTGACCAAAATAACATATTTTGCTCTTGATTTTCCTCTGAAAATTTTCAGCATAATGTAACCTTTGCATATCAGCTGGCATCCCAAGGATCCAGACTCATCATTGTCTTTATAAATGTCACATGGTTACTTGATGTAATTAATTATTGAAATTAACATTCTTATGTAATTACGCAAAATGGGTGTTAATATATTGTACCTACATGTCAATGTTAAATAAAAGTCAAATTTAACAAAAATCCGATAACTAATGTCAGTAAATACACTTTCTAGTACACAAAACACATAAAAGTTTACCATGATATCTTTCCCGCACACCATTCATGAATATGTATAGTATTTGCGTTTATATCTTCGGGATTGTTTGTATTCTTGTAGCTTAATAATAATAAAACTTCGTAATATTTTAAATTCAAATTCAACGGAATAGAAAGCATGTCTTTTATCGAGATTAATACCAATATTGTTCAAACGTTGGTCGAACAAAAACTTTTTTTGTCGGACCAATGTTGGTACATGTAATTGCATTGTACTTATGCATGGAATATAATCTTACAAATTCCAACTCCTTGGTTTTTCACATTCAAAAAGGTTAATAAACATTAACTGTAATTTGTGAACTTGAATAATTATAGTATTAAATGTTCCAAATATACGAATCGAAATCGCTGACTGATAGCATTCACATTGGCTTGGAAAAAAAGAAGCATGCACAAATTGGTAATTGTTTGTACGAAAAATGAATCATGGGTAAAAAAGAAAATTCTTTTCGACTAGATACGCAGTAACAAATATATTTTCCATGATTAAATTTTCAAATAAGCAATGAATATTCTATATGATTTATTTGAACTTCCATGTAAGATCAAGAATTTTTCGATGATTCATTATGATATGATTTACCAATTCCATTTACAACTGCAATTACAATACATTAGAATAGACAAAATGATATATGAAAATGTCATAACGAATATTTTAACAAAAACTGGTTTTTCTTTTGTCCTTGCTCTAGATTTTGCTAATGACTGTAATAAATAACCTTTGATCAACTCTTGTTTAACTTCGTAACAAAGTGCATGCATGATCAATGTTTGAGAGTATATTAACTCAATTTTCAAAGGTCACAACATACCAAAATAACTAAAACAGTACATACTTGAAGATGTTCGACGTCGAAATAAAATATATGCATTATCAATGGAGTATATTAACTCAATTTCCAAAGGTCACAATTTACCAAATTAAGTAAGTTTATAAAATTGATGAAATACATATGTATCTTATTAAAGGGCATTTTTTTTTGGTTATTTTTTTATTGTTTTACTTATTTAGAAATTCAGAAATAATAATGATTTATCCTTAATTATTACGTTACTAAACAAGACGTAAGCGATTTTATCTAATTTTTATTTGTTCATTTGGGATGAAAAATTAAGATGGGAGGGATGAACCTGATGAAAAATGCATTTTGTTGTATTAATATAAATATATATTGCAATAAATAAAAATAGCAATGTTGTCACCCGTCATTTTAAAAATTTAATGGGTGTGAGTATTTAATTGCAAGCTGAATTAAAGTGACACATCCGATCTCATCAAGTAATAACAAAAATTATACGAACATGCATTTTACATATGGTATATGGGCATTTACGTTAGCAAACAGCGAGATAAATCAATAAATTGATATTCTATTATCATAATATCATAATGCTTTTTTTTTTTATTTCCCTTGAACAGACATTTGGCCTTTTGCTCATTAGACCACTCTTCCACACCCTGCAAAGCATTTTTTGCTCATTTATGACGCCACAATAAAATGACGTCATAATAATTGTATACTTGTTTCAAATACGTCATAATAACATGTTGCTATCAGGTGACGCACTGTTAGGCAAAACACAGTGTAGAACTTTGACGTTTTCAAGGCATCTGCAAATCTGCAAATTGTATCAAGGTATGTATTTTTTGTATGCTTAAATTTGGAAAAGCTATCAACACCAGTATTTCTTCTCTTTTAAATTGGGCCCTGAGATTCGAGCATAACATACTTTGATAAACAATTTATTTCTGTTTCAGATGGGAAGAAGAGAAAAGAAGAATAAAGAGCTCTTATTTGTACATGACAAGATGTATAGTATTATTCCAGACATACCGACAGCAAAAGGAATTCAAGAGAAGGAAAAGGTCCTCAGTATTCAAAGGCCAAAACCATCTCCACTTAAAGCATCAGGCAAAAGGTATGAAGTTTTGCCTCGCGCAGGAGACATTTTCCCACCTTCTCTTCCCGCCAACACCTCTAGACTCCACCCAAAGATCGACACTATCATGTCTGAACCGAAAACTAAGAAAATGAAAGCCCCACTTGCTTGTCTCGACACAGAGAGAATAAGGGAAACAATTGACAAAGCCAAAAATAAAAGCAGAAAGGCGAAGAAGAAATCGACAGAGCCTCCTCCCAAAGAATTCTATCAACAAATAAACGATTCAAATAAACAACACGAAAGCACAGTGCCTCAGGCGCATATTCCTCGACCACCATCCAATCCAAACGATCCAGCAAAACAAAGAAGAATTGTCAAACTTCGACAGTCAACTTCATGCCGTGATCTAGACATTGGGCAGTACGAAAGTCCTATGAACTCAGTTATATTGCAGCGAAGCGTACACCACAGTGAAGACTACATGGTCTTTGACCAGGGTTCCAGGAATGTGAATCCTGAGCAATATATGGAGTACCCAAACCCAGCTGAATACGCTGTCTACAAGGATCCTACTCCAGCCATCAGATTTATGAATCCAGTTAATTACAATCGATGTACAGCTCCAACTGAAGGTTTACAGTACATTGATCCACATCAAGTACTGGATCACTTGAATCCTTACACTAGAAGATTCTCGGCTCCAAAAGAACACGATGCGTACATGAACCCACATCATGTACTGGATAACTTGGATCCATTGCCTCACACCAAAAGATTCTCGGCTCCAAAAGAACAGGATGCGTTCATGAATCCACATCAAGTACTGGATAACTTGGATCCATTGCCTCACACTAGAAGATTCTCGGTTCCAAAAGAACAAGATGCGTACATGGATCCACATGAAGTATTGGATCACTTGAATCCATTTCCTTACAGTGGTGAATGCTCGGCTCCAAATGAATACGCTGCGTACATGGATCAACATCTAGTATTGGAACAAATGAATCTCTCTTCTTACAGTGGACGCTCGGCTCTACATGAATACAATGGATACGGAAATCCCAAACAACCAATTACATACATGAATCCTAACAAACGCACGGCGACATTTGATCCACAAATCAGATGCGCTATCCCGGAGAGATTATACGTGAAACATGATCACCATAGCGCTAGCAACAGCAACTGCTACAGCAAACCCAAGAAGACATACCGTAAAAAGGCATCAAAAGAAAAATCTGTACGGCATAGCAGCACGATATCAATTGACAATATTTGCATTTGAAGCTCAGAAGAAAAAGTGCATCAACATTTTTGTGTCAGGCGATAATTAAAGCTGTTTTCAATGAGATAAGCCAAACGGGACAGCGTTTCCAGTAATTGAACGTTACATGCATCTGTGCGATATCATTTGAACACAAATACAGCGAGGATATGTTTCAACTTTCAATAATTTTAGAAGGATCTCAAAAATGTATTGTCTCGTATTTTTTAATTAAATATTTTAATTGTACAGAAGAGTTGTATTTTCTTTTTTATAATCTCGTGATGATACTGATGATGTCAATATACATACATACAGTAATGACAAATGATAATATTTATATGCAGAGAGAGAGAGAGAGAGAGTGTGAGAGAGAGAGAGAGATTTCATAATATTATCCATCAAAAATTTGTCTTCGAAAATGAATATTTTGGGGCGAAAACTAATAAGTACATAAAAATATTAAATGAAGTACACGTAATTCAAGTCAATTAATGCATAGATATGCTGCCCTAGTAAATCTAATTCTGTGAAAAAAAAATCACGGTGGGCGATCAGGAATCCCTTTTAATGAATATAATTTGAAGGTCCTTTAATATATGTATTGAATTATATATAATGAAGTGAATCCAAGTTTATCATTCCAATGTTCTTAATAAGAAAAAATGATGTATTATTTCTTTTTCAAAATTTTACAATCCGTACTAGTTTGACTTTATTTGACCGATTTTTTTTTTTTGACTGAATTAAATGAATTTCAACAATTGTAGCAAGTTAAAAACGAAAACACTCAGGTAAAATATAATACAATTAATTACTGTTTGATAGTGTCTTTGCCCAGCATTTTTAAATACTCTTTATTTAAATACATCAAGTAGGATAAAAGTTATTTCATTGATACCTCAAAATTTATTAAAATGAATCAAATTTTATCATTTTAAATGAAATATCTGAACGTTTGTTGACGCCTGGCCCCAGGATCATGAAACAAACTTAAACTTAAGTCAAATTTTAAATGTTGTGCAAGATATTTATTATTTATTGAATTAATCTCTTATTTTGCAGTTAGCAACACTTTTGTAAAGCAGTATTGAAAACAATTTGATTTTGGCCTGTTTGACTTCTACAACATTTGTGCACAACAGAAGGATTTTGACTTAAGCTTAAGATGCTGTATGATCCCGGGGCCAGAACAAAAAATCATTCCTGCATGACAAATAAAATGTATGTATAAAGTTACTAAAAAATAAAAATTATTATGCATGCATTATTTAAATTGCAATCAATGTGTAATTAGTAAAAAGGTAATAATTACATAAAGAAATCAGTGTTAACTTTTTATATACCCCCCCCCCCCCCCATCGCATTTGTTAATGTTGTTACTAGTATTTATTTACCATAAAATACGTGCACATTGCATGCAAAAATTTTTTTACAAATTTTACTTTATTCAAAATAACGAACGTGTAACTAGTTCGTCAGAAAACATAGCAAAATCCCCCTTACGTACTATGACTAATGGTCATATTCTGACCACCATTAAAAATGTCAAGTCATATAGAAATTCATATTAACATGATAAATAACACAAATGAAATTATAAAGATTTAAAAATGGAAGCCACTTGCCATATTGGGCTAAAATAATGTATGATGACCTTTCCCTGTGCATAATTTTAACTGTAAGTATCGAATCAAGAAATGATATATGCACGTCAAAAATTGTGATGAACTGGAGAGAATTCAATATAAATGCACATGTATAGACAAAAATATAATATTATTAAATTAGAATACCCCTCGATATTCAATAAGAAGAAAAAGGTACCCGTCAAGACAAGGATTCGTAAAACTCACACATTATGTAAAACTAAATTACGCGAAAATGATTTTCTTGCGAAGAAAAAGTGATTTATAGTATGGTGAAGTATTGAAAGTATTTCCCCCTAAAAATTCCACCACCATACCATAAACACAAAAGCACAAAATATGAGGGGAAAAATTAAAAAAATAAAATGGAAGAGGACATGAGAAAAAGGGTGGTACATGATTTGAGCAGTAATTGACAAAATTAATGAGTATGCTTATTTTCCAATTATCATTTTTTCATATTTACACATCTTTTTAAGGTCTTCCGTCTTCACGGAAGACCTTATAGTGATTCTACTGTTTCTTATTATTATGTTCCCCAAACGAAGTTTGGGAACATATTGTTTTTACTCTGTTTCTTATTATTATTATTATGTCGCCCCGAACGAAGTCGGGGACGACATATTGATATTGTACGCATGTTTTTTTTATCCAGGCTGTTTCTCGGAGATGGCTGGGACAATCTTCCTGAAACTTTCCTTCAAGGACGATCACTGGTTGTAGTTGTGCAGTGAGGTCGTTCAGTTCCAATATGTCTACCGTTGCCATGGAAACCTGTAAAAAGCGACAAATTTTGTCCGAGAGTGTTCTCTCTGGTCCCTTAAACGTTCGTCATGAAACTTTTCTTATTTTAATGATTAGTATCTGTAGTTGTGCAACTCGTATTTAAAATTTTCATATAATCGATTATTGCCATGGAAACCAGGTGAAAGTTAAAATTCTTTAATTTCGATTTTCTCAATAACTACTCAGGCAATCGTTTTGAAACTTTCAATGTTTATTCCTTGCAATGTGTCAAAGTGATTTCTACTTTCAAAATAATTGTAATGAGTCGCTCACGGTTGCCATAGAAACGAAACAGAAAAAAAGATTCAGATGTACACATGTGTTCTCCAAGGTCTAGGTCAAAGGGTCAAAGTTCGTCGTATCCAATAAAAGTTCTTTTCACCAGGATTACATATTTGAAATACGAAAGCCCGAGTACTTACCGTTCAAACGTTATGGCTATTTACTATGTTCAAGACGCCCCCCCCCTCTTTTTATGAAGCACACAGCCAAGTAGAATACACAGATATAACATATACAACTTACAAGTAACTTTTTAAAATCTTCATTCATAAAATTCAGTTCCCGTCATGTGATATTTTGCCATCATTCATTCTCCTTCTGTTTTGTCTCTTGAATTTATAAATATTTTATTTTATCTATATAAAAAAAATAACGATTGTCAGCTGCATTTATTATCATTTCGCGTTTTCTTGTATATCTATCACTTGTATATTATTCATTTCATTAGATAGTGCAAGTATAAATTAAAAAATTGGTACGTCATTTCCATAGTTTTTATTCATTCATAAATTCTTTGATCCGCTCCTGATGGTTCGCAAAGCCTTGATCACCACTGTATACAAAACATTCATCTCGCCGAAAATGTTCATGATTCCGCTAAACTGAGAAAGTTCACACATGATTTATTATCTCATAACACACATCAGCTCTCTGCAATGCAGAAATGCTCGAATTGAAGGGGAAAATTCAGGAGTTATTGATGAGAAAAATTCAGGAGTTATTATGTCGCCCCGAACGAAGTCGGGGACGACATATTGATATTGTACGCATGTTTTTTTTATCCAGGCTGTTTCTCGGAGATGGCTGGGACAATCTTCCTGAAACTTTCCTTCAAGGACGATCACTGGTTGTAGTTGTGCAGTGAGGTCGTTCAGTTCCAATATGTCTACCGTTGCCATGGAAACCTGTAAAAAGCGACAAATTTTGTCCGAGAGTGTTCTCTCTGGTCCCTTAAACGTTCGTCATGAAACTTTTCTTATTTTAATGATTAGTATCTGTAGTTGTGCAACTCGTATTTAAAATTTTCATATAATCGATTATTGCCATGGAAACCAGGTGAAAGTTAAAATTCTTTAATTTCGATTTTCTCAATAACTACTCAGGCAATCGTTTTGAAACTTTCAATGTTTATTCCTTGCAATGTGTCAAAGTGATTTCTACTTTCAAAATAATTGTAATGAGTCGCTCACGGTTGCCATAGAAACGAAACAGAAAAAAAGATTCAGATGTACACATGTGTTCTCCAAGGTCTAGGTCAAAGGGTCAAAGTTCGTCGTATCCAATAAAAGTTCTTTTCACCAGGATTACATATTTGAAATACGAAAGCCCTAGTACTTACCGTTCAAACGTTATGGCTATTTACTATGTTCAAGACGCCCCCCCCCCCCTCTTTTTATGAAGCACACAGCCAAGTAGAATACACAGATATAACATATACAACTTACAAGTAACTTTTTAAAATCTTCATTCATAAAATTCAGTTCCCGTCATGTGATATTTTGCCATCATTCATTCTCCTTCTGTTTTGTCTCTTGAATTTATAAATATTTTATTTTATCTATATAAAAAAAAATAACGATTGTCAGCTGCATTTATTATCATTTCGCGTTTTCTTGTATATCTATCACTTGTATATTATTCATTTCATTAGATAGTGCAAGTATAAATTAAAAAATTGGTACGTCATTTCCATAGTTTTTATTCATTCATAAATTCTTTGATCCGCTCCTGATGGTTCGCAAAGCCTTGATCACCACTGTATACAAAACATTCATCTCGCCGAAAATGTTCATGATTCCGCTAAACTGAGAAAGTTCACACATGATTTATTATCTCATAACACACATCAGCTCTCTGCAATGCAGAAATGCTCGAATTGAAGGGGAAAATTCAGGAGTTATTGATGAGAAAAATTCAGGAGTTATTATGTCGCCCCGAACGAAGTCGGGGACGACATATTGATATTGTACGCATGTTTTTTTTATCCAGGCTGTTTCTCGGAGATGGCTGGGACAATCTTCCTGAAACTTTCCTTCAAGGACGATCACTGGTTGTAGTTGTGCAGTGAGGTCGTTCAGTTCCAATATGTCTACCGTTGCCATGGAAACCTGTAAAAAGCGACAAATTTTGTCCGAGAGTGTTCTCTCTGGTCCCTTAAACGTTCGTCATGAAACTTTTCTTATTTTAATGATTAGTATCTGTAGTTGTGCAACTCGTATTTAAAATTTTCATATAATCGATTATTGCCATGGAAACCAGGTGAAAGTTAAAATTCTTTAATTTCGATTTTCTCAATAACTACTCAGGCAATCGTTTTGAAACTTTCAATGTTTATTCCTTGCAATGTGTCAAAGTGATTTCTACTTTCAAAATAATTGTAATGAGTCGCTCACGGTTGCCATAGAAACGAAACAGAAAAAAAGATTCAGATGTACACATGTGTTC